CTAGACCTATATCTCTCACCATGCACTAAACTAAAATCAAAATGGATTAAAGATCTAAATATTAAAATAGAAACACTAAACTGGCTGGAACAGAGGTTAGGTAGAACTCTTGAAGACATTGGTGTGGGAAACGATTTTATGAAGAAAACCTGTGTTGCCCGTGAACTAGCACAAACAATCAACAAGTGGGAGCTCTTCTTATTAAAAAGCTTCTGCACTGCAAAAGAAACCACCAACAGAGCCAAAAGACAACCTACAATGTGGGAAAATATTTTTACCTGCTGTTCCTCAGACAAAGGTCTACTATCTAGAATACAAGAAGAACTCAAAAAAAATCAGACCTCCCAGATTTAAAGACACAATCCAAAAATGGGCATCTGAAATGAACAGACATTTCTCACACAAAGAAGTAGAAACAGCAAATAAACATACGAAAAAATGTTCAGCATCACTGGCCATTGGAGAGATGCAAATGAAAACAAAGCTGAGATTCCACCTCACCCCAGAAAGAATGGCTGCTATCATGAAATCAACCAATAACAAATGCTGGTGCGGCTATGGGGAAAGAGGAACACTGCTCCATTGCTGGTGTAGACTGGTGCAACCACTGTGGAAATCAGTGTGGAGATAGCTCAAAGAATTAGGACTGGAAGTTCCATTTGACCCAGCTATTCCTCTGCTGAGTATCTTCCCCAAAGAAGTAAAAGAATCATACCACGGTGATATATGTGCACCCATGTTCATAGGAGCACAGTTTGTGATAGCTAAAACTTGGAAGCAGCCCACGTGCCCATCAACTGGAGACTGGATAAAGAACATGTGTGTTTTTTTTTGTTTTTTAATAAAATGGAGTACTATTCAGCTATAAAAAATGATAAATTAGAGATATTGATAGCCAAATGGATGCACATTGAGGCGATACTCTTAAGTGAAATAAATAGGACACATGTGTGTAAATACCGAATAGTTTCTCTAGTGTGAGAAACTGAAAGTGTAAACAAGGACTAAAAAGTATAATAGATAGTCTTTGTAAATAGGGAGGGCAAGGGAATGGGGAAAAAAAAAATAAGAGCCAGGGGAGATTATGTAAAGGTGCAAATTTCCAATGATGAATGTCATTATATTGTATACCTAAAATGTACCAGCAAAATTCATAAAAGAAAGAAACTAGAAGACAATGAAACATAAGAACAACACATTTAAACTGCCGCTAGGATAAACAAAACAACACAAACAAAACAAAGGTCACTGCAGAAGACTCTATCAAGAAATCTATTGTTCAGGATGAAGACTGCACTCTCCTTTATTACTGTTGTATCAGGTTACCAATGACTCAGTGTCTTAAGACACATGTGTTATCTTACTGCTCAGTTCTGAAGGTCTGAAGTAAAAACAGGAGATGAAAAGGCTACAATCTAGAGGTTGGCAGAGCGCTGCTGTGTCAGTGACCCTAGAAGAGAACCCATTTCTTGCCTTTGTCAGCTTTGATCGGCCCCTGGCACTCTATGGCTTGAAGGGCCCTTTCTCTGATTTTCGCTGCCCGCAATGAGAGCTGAGTCCTGTCTCCTCACATACAATTCCTCTGAATTATTTTATCTTCTATCATAGTCTTGTACTTTTAGGAACCTTTGTGACTCAACTGTGTTCATCTGGATATCTAGCATAATTTTCCTAGGTCACTTGATTAGCAACTTTAGTATAATCTGCAAACTACATTCCCCTTTTCTACATAAAGTAAAACATTCATAGGTTCTAGGAATTAGGGGGCCTTATTATATTGAAAATATTAAAATACTAAATAAAAAATTTACAAGTAAAACGCAAATCCAAGACATGCACTATTTTTCACAACCACTCAAACTTGGGCGGTAGCCACACTGAGGTGGTGAGGTCAGCCTAGTGCACAGGAAGTCGCTCTGCTTACCTGTTTAGCAATGGCTTTGCTGTCCAGCTTGTTGTACACCTTCCGGATCCGCGCTACAGTCAGAGAGGACACGGAGAGTGCATAGAGACCAAAGGATACCTTCTCCTCTGGAACTAATGACACAGGTGAGGGCACGACACCTTCTGACTTGGCATCTTTACCTTCAAAAGAAGAAGAATTCTTTTCAAAATCATGAGTAATTCTCCACACCCTAACACAAATTTTTAATTCTAACTATCATTTTTTTCTGGTACCAGGGATCAAACTCGGGACCTTGCGCTTGCGAGGCAGGAGGCGGAACCACTGAGCTAAATCCCCGGCCCTCTACCTATCATTTTTAAGTGGGTACACTTGCAAGTCTTTTAAAGTGAAATTAGGAAGCTAAATTTAAAAACTGTTAATTTTCAGTTCTTCATCTGGCTCTTAATGATAAAAGAAAAGATGATCTAGTCACAGAATTTATATTCCAAGTTCTACTCTTAAAATATGCTTAACACATAGAGGAATGTAGAGGAGATAGAATTTTAACTGCTATTTAACAAACTCTAAAGCACTCCCCTGGACTGCAAATGACAAAGGGAAGGCATGGAGTGGGCTGCCTTTGTGTGCTGCAGTGTAAGTCTTGCCCTAGCAAGAGCTTTCACTTACACCCCAGTGTCCCCAGCCAGCATGGCACGAAGGTGGAAAGCATGCACTTTGCAGCTCTACAGGTTGATTTTGAGAATGTGTGTGTTTACTTGGCCAACTCCTTCTTCCTTTCATGAGAGCCGCTACACTTTATTTTCATTTTTAGTTTTTTAAGACAAGGATGGCCTTGAACTCACTATGTAGCCCAGGCTGGCCTTGAACTCACAGCGATCCTGCCATCTCAGCCTCCTGAGTGCTAGGATTACAGGTGTGTGCCACCACACACAGCTGAGGGTAGCTACACTTTAAAGTGCCTCAAGTAACAGGAGAAATTACAAAAAGAGGGTTGAGTCACACTCATAGAGGGGCTAGACTAACATCTTTGAGCTGGTATGAAAAACTGGGTAATTAGGGATCAGGCATAAAGGCAAAATCAGTAAGGCCCAGGGCATGCAGTGGAGGACAGCATTTTAACCAGAAGTGAGTAGCCAACAGTATCACAGTGGAGAAAAAAGTGAAGAAAGTACAGCTGCACCTTCTGTGTACAAAGCATGCACACTGCTTCGAGAACCAAGAGCAAGTTACTCACATGGCATACACACCGCCTGAAAGCTCCCAACGTAATTTGGTCCAAGTTCATAAATGGTAGTGACACTGGAGGGAGGCAACACTTCTTCTAGAAAGTGGGTGGGCCCGAGGCGCCACACCAGAGAAGCGATCTGGCGCTGCGCAGGGGGGGTTCCGATGTAGGCGTAGACCGTGCTGACCACTGGGGGGTTCGCCGAGCCAGATCCCCCTGGCGTGCTGTGGACATAATGAAGCTACCAGGAAGACAAGCATACGAGATGGGGGGAAAACACTGTTATCAGGAAATCATCAACTTTAGCATGTTTATTTTCATTACCCCCCCCACTCCCCCATGAAGCAACTTTACAAATGTACCAGAAGAATTCCTCTGGGGAATCCAGGGCAGGGCAAAACTCGAGGATCTGTCACGTGGTTCTGAAGGTAAACTGAGGCTGGAAATGGCAACACCAACAAAGAGATACCACCACTGCCTGGCCGCTCTGAGAGTATAGGTTGGATATAAAAAATAGAGCTTTCTACTATGGAATTCAGGTAGCTTTAAAATTAGTTACCTTCAGTGTTATTCTGTTAATTAAAATTACTGATGAACAGTAGCTTCTCAGGACAAAGAATTATAAAATATTAGAAACTACTAAAGGAAAAAGTCTGTGTATATGCCATCATTTATATGCACAAATTTTAATCTCCCTGCAAAATACTAACCATTGATGAATGACATTCTCAGATTTGCAATTGCACTTCTGATTACCAACAGTGCCTAAGTTAGTAATTCATTTATAATAAATGGATAAAGAGCTGAAGACATAAGGACAGAAGCTGCTTTCGCACAATGCTGCTTCTGTAAGTGTAGCTTCCATCCCTTAATGGAAGGAGGGACATTCATGACACCACCCCAGCTTCAGACCACATCTACTGCTGTGCACGGCTGCCTATAGAAAGTAGTGGCAGGTTGAGTACTTCTTTTCCAAAATGTTTAGGATCAGAGGTTTCAGCCTTCAGTTTACTAGTTTTTGGAATATTTACATGGACTTTATTGGCTAAGCATCTGCAAGCCAAAAATATGAACTTCAAAATGCTCTGAAATTTGAAACTTTTTGAATGTCATGTTGGCAGATGAAGATTTAGATTTTAAAACACTTTGGATATTTGGATTAGTGCTGCTCAACAATGGCAATATTCATCCCTTTGGAGAAAATACAACTTACTGATTCCCTACTGGTTACTTCAGGTCTCTGCAGAATACTGCAACAATCTAGAGTCATGTTCATAGGCCCATTCACTCAGCAAGCAATAGACTGAACACAATGGTAGCAGGCTTCCCTAACAAGCTCTAGGTCTGGGGTTCAATCCCCAGCACCACACACACACACACACACACACATACACACACACACACTCACACACTCATACACATGTGTAGGTTTTCTATTGAGCATAGGTCAGTGTAGAGCATGTGCTCAGTATACTCCAGACTCTGAGTTCAATCCAAGTAATACAAACAAAACAAAAACAACTGAATGCCCATAATTATTATCAGGGATTAATCTGGGTGACCAAATACAAAGGAAAAAACCTCTAGCTCTCAAGGAATATAGTCTTCTGGATGAAATTACAGTAACAACAGTGAAATGACAAAACAGTGTATGCACAGTTCACTTAAGCCTCCTTCAACTTGTGTCTTTATTGTGAAAAAGAACTTAGCAATTTGGCCCCAGTGCTGACAGTAAAGTCTTCAGTACCTTATGACCCTACATTTCTACTCTTCTTTAACAAAGTGGTATGAATTAGTCGGCCACATGACTAACATTTTGTTCAAATGGGTACTCAAAGCCAAGTTAGGGTTAAGATAGTGATCTTAAATACTCTTGTAACACACATACTCGCACACGGGTACACATACATAAGTGCACGCACACCCTGGGAAACCCAAGGCAGGCAGGCAGGCGGACGGGTGTACCTTGACGGTGCTGACCAGCTGCCCGTCGATGTAGAGGGCAGCCGTGCTGTTCTTCAGCATGCCCTTGCTCATCACCAGGACCAGGTGGTGCCACTGTCCCTCCACAATCAGCTCTCCACATCGAAAGCGAGCACAGCAGGGCAGAATCTCATAAAAAGAGGATTCTTCACTAAAATCATCAACTAAAACAATAGAGGAAGGATGTAAACACTTTTGCCAGTATCATCCTTAGTCTGATAATTATTCACACACCCATTAGCATGTTTTGACTTTTGACTTTATGTTAAAACAAATAAAATGAGGCAAATGAAGATAGCGTACTCATGTAATACTTTTCAGTAGTCAGAATAAAACCTAGATGTATGTTTGTTTTTATCTGCCCTAGCCAGATACATATAGTTATAATCAAAGAAAGTCTCAATAGCTAAGGAAGTAAAAAAATAGTCAATACAATAAAATAAAGTAATGATAAACAATATAAAAGACTAGGCTGACATCAAAACCAAGAATAAGTTAGTGGAACTATATCAAGTTGAAAAGCTTCTGTATAACAAAGGCAACAAGAGCCCGAGTGAAAAGGCAACCTATGGCATAGAAAAAATATGTGCCATCATGTATCTGACAGGGGCTGATCTCTTGTGTGTGTGTGTGTGTGTGTGCGCGTGTGGCTCAAATGACTCAAGTAAAGAAACTAACATCCCTATTAGAAAATGGGCTAAGGACTTGAATAGACATGTGAGGTATGAATGAAATAAACAGTGAACATTTAAATATTAAAAATATCATAGCAAAGACACATTGTAATTAATTCCCCTCACTTTGAACACACTTATCCTATCATGTTTGCCACTCTCTGAAGCAGCTCTGGAAGTTCTCTTTCATGGATGTCTTTACCAGTTGTTACAAAAAATGTGGTGAACGCTGCTACCAGTGCTATCCACTGGAAGAGCAGGCTTGTAAAAACACTATGTTGTGTCCTCATCCATTTCATTCACCAGATCTGGCACTGTGCTTTTTTTGTGTGTGTGTGGTATGGGGGATCAAACTCAGGACCTTGTGCTTGCCAGGCAGGCTTGGCGCCACTGAGCTACATCCCCGGCCCTACACTGCGCAACTTCTGGTTCTTCCACAAAGTCAAAGGGACCATGAAAGCAAATGCTTTCAAGCAAAATTCAGAACATGGAGGCAGCCACAACAGTGCAACTAAAGACACAAAAGAGGACTTGCAGAACTGTTTCAGGGAGCAGAAAGAATGATGGGATATGTGTGCTGGAAGCGAGGGGGAGTACCTTAAGGGGGATTAATGGCAATGTGTATTTTGCTATAATAAAATTTTTAGAATTTAAAAATTCACCATGTATTTCCATCATACCGTGTATCATCTATAAGGACACACAACTGGGTGACAGGTACGTAGAAACATGCTCAACATCACTAATCGGGAACCAGAACCCAAACCACAATACGGTACAGTGTGCCCCTCACATCTGTCAGAATGGTGACTATCACAAAACAAAAATGAGTGTTGAGAAGAATGTCAAGAAATCAGAACCCTGTGCTCTGGGGATGGAAAGAAAAATGGTTTACTAAATGACATATAAAGCAGTATGGAGGTTTCCCCAGCAAGTTGAAAACAGAACTACTATAGGATCCAGCAATCCTATTTCTGAGCATTTATTCAGAAGAACTGAAATCATAATCTTTTTTTTTTTTTTTGACACAGGGTCCCACTATTTAGATTAGGCTGGAATCATGATGTCGAGGAGATATTCTATCAGCACTCTTAATGAGATGAGCAGATAAAGAGAACATGGTAAATACATGAAACAGAACACTGCTCAGCCTTAAAATAGAGGAAATACTACAACACAAAACAACAGGGATAAACTTTCAGGGCACTATGCTAAGCAAAATAAGTGATTATTTTGAGAAAGACAAATATTCATGATTCCTTCTATATGAAGGATCTAGAACAGTGAAACTCACATACACAATGAACTGAACGGTAGCTACAGAGTGAGATCTCTATTCTTCTGTGAGAGAGGAATAGAGAAACCATCCAGCATAAAATCCCAAACAAGGTAAATACGCTCTAGAGATCTGCCATGTAACATTGCCTCTGTAGTCAGCAATGGTAGGCACAATGTTTTGACTGACATTCAACTAAGACAAAGTTATAAAGAGAACCAAGAAAAGCTATAGTGTATTCTCGTTTCTTTTATGCTGAGTTACAGGAGAGGTGCTAGTTCACGGTTGTGTGGCCCAGAACCTACTAACCACAGTAGTAAGGAGGTAAACTGTGGTATAAAATAGGTGTTTTGTGATCCAGGTTCCTGCTTCACAGACAACTCTGTACCATATGCACTCTTATTTACTGATATTCTGCAACCACCTCCTAACTTGAATATTTGCTAATATTCCGCAACTACTTTCTAACTACAGCCTGGCAAACCAGTATGCTGCCAGACCATACTAAGAAATAATGGATTCATGTTCATTTAATTTCAGTGTTAAGCTAATTAAAATTTAATTAACCTTTTTTGGGGGCTATATTAGGGGTCAAATCCAGGGCCTTGTGCTAGTGTGTGCCCTAAATGAGCTAACCTCTAGCCCCACCTCTTCTGAGTATTCAAAATAGGCAGGACAGGAAAGGGAAACCAGGTGTTGAAAATTTAAAAAACAAAAATCAAGAAGATTCATCTACATATAGACATATATGTTAAAGCAGGTCCTTAAAGCAGATCTACTAGTTTGTTTTTTTTTTAAGAACAAGTACATAGAAGCAAATATACTTGAAAGTAAAGTTTAAATTATATGAAGGAACCAAAAATAAAGTATTAATTTCTATTTTTAGAATCTTAAAACATCTGCCTACTCTGACATGCTGATTATATTTTAAAATGAGATTTCAGTATATATGTCTGCTGGCAACTTAAAACTGCTACATAGCAAGTCTCATCTGTAAGGTGACTTAAGGTAGGAACAGAACTGAATTACAGTAGACAGAGGGTAGGTTCAACCCTTGGGAGGCGTAGGGTTATGGACAAGGGAAGCGAAAAAAAGACAAACATGCATGTAGCTTGGGCAGAACACATGCTTAGCATGCATGAGACCCTGTGTTTGATCACCAACACACACACACACGCACACACACACACAAGCCAAACACAAATACTAATCAAAAATCCCAAGGTAAGTGTGGGCAAAACAAGGAACCTTTCCCTTCTTTGTTAACAGACTATAACTCTTGAGGCCTGAAGACCATATTATCTATAAAATCTCAGTCTGAGCTTCTCTTTCTGATTAGGCTGGCACTAGGATGTTTCTGGTGCTGACTGATCTGTAGGTACCTTAGTGGCCACCAGGTTTATGACAGCTCTTCGAGGCATCATAATGGTTAAAGTGGTCTGAAGACAGGTGCTGGCAGTACTAGTGTGTCTGCGGCTCTCATTTCTAATCACATATGATTCCAGCAATCCTGCACTTTACAGTGAAAATGATAAAAAGCTAGAAAATCTCTTCCTAGTTTATGGATGTATCACTAGTTCTACACCTTCATTTTTTGATTAAATTTTATCCTTTCTCCAAATTTTTCCAATATCACTTGCTTTTTGCACTGTTTTTTCCTCAGGTCATCTAGCTCTTGTTTATATATTCATATATGTTTAAATCATAACTGCATCCTCATACATTCTAGGCACTGTTTTAGGGGTCGGGGTACCTTCAAAACAAAGGTTTTGGAAGGTTTATAATTCTAGCAGGGCAGACAGAACAAGATAGAGAATTAAGGGGCTGGGGATTTAGCTCAGTGGCACCATGCCTGCCTCTCAAACACAAGGTCCTGAGTTCGATCCCTGGTACAAAAAAAAAGAGAAAGTCTAGAAAGTCAAGATCGGAAATGAGAATATTACACAAGGGCTATGACAGTGGGCATGGGAGTTAGGCAAGATTCCGAGAATAACAAGGAAACATAGTGTAGTCAGACTCTGTGGAAGGGGTGCTATTTTTCAACCTGAAAACTCCAATTTCTAGCTGGGCTAATTAACTAGCTGTGAAGGTGTCGTTTATCAAGTAAGGTAAATAACAGGCAGGTTTAAAAGAGAAACTGAGAGGATTCTGGGACTACTTCACGTAGAGATGTCTAACATGCAGTTGGATCATATGAGCACCAACCTTTGGATACAGACAAATTAAACAACACTTGTCTCATGGTCCCTGGGATAAAAAGACCTAAAAGCCAACACAACTTGGTGATTTTTTTCCCCATGAAGAGCAGATTGAGAGCAAAGACCAGAGGTGAAATATGAAAGGCTATTAATTGTGAGGGGAAGATGGAAGAGAGTGAACGCTATTGCAGGAAACTGCAGCAGAGTGGAAAGATAAGAGTGTGTATCCCAAGTGCAAGTCTGAGGCAGTTAATGAGCAGGAAGAAGTCGAGAGGACAAAGTTATTTAGGTGCAAATTAAGTGTGCTAATCATAAAATTTTAATTAATTAATCAATCAATTATTTTTTATGATGCCAGAGATTGAATTCAGGGCCTGGAGCATGCTAGGCAAGAGCCCTATCACTAGTGAGCTCTATCTCCAACCCTGATAATGACAATTTTAAAGAACTAATTTCACTGAGCCTTAGCTCTGTGCTGGGCACCACAGAGATTAAAACAGGAACTCCTACAATCTAATGGAAAAACTAACATTCATATTCAGTTAACATTTACTGAGTCCCAACCACTTAGGAATCAATGTGATATTTTCCCTAGTTAAAAGAGCAAAAATAGATGATTTTAAAACATACATTTATATATAAATGTTTATAGTCAAAGCAAAAATATTCAGTAAGCTGAGTTGTGTATGTTATGTTACTTATGTCATTTAGGAAGATCTTGATGAATGATTTGGTCAGAAGTTCTGCTGTGTAAGAGTGTGAAGCAATGACATGCTGGGGGATTAGGACTATGAACTGGCGCCCCTGCAGTCCTGAAGGTACTGTGGACTAGAGATTGAAAGGTTACTGTGTCAGGCACTGTGAGCCACATGTGGCGGGAGACGCTCTAGGAATATGACTTAAGCAGAATTCATAGTCAATCGTGATCTTTACCAAAATATAGCCAATAAGAGAGCTGGTTTCTGAGCAAAACTCTGATTCCTAGCAAGAGGCAGTCTTTTTCAAGCTCTCCCTCCTGCTGTTTTCTGCATTTTTCGAAAATGCCTCAAAGTTCACTGGTAAAGTACTCAAGGTTTCACATAACCTGTTCTATTCTAAGTTGGAAAGGAAGTATCAATTGGACCGAACTTAAAACATCAAAATCAAGTTTTAACACTTGTAGAATCAAAAGAAGGAAACAGGAAAGATGAACGCTGACCATAGTTTTGGAGCAGCTCCTCTTTTGTGGAGACGATCAGGGAGCGGTCTTTGGCCGAGAGGACCATGGCCAGGCACACGTAGTGCTGCTGGGAGGAGTTTGCGCGCCGCACCATGGTGAGCAGCCGGACTGGGTGGTGCTGTGGGGCGCAGCTGAAGTGCTCGACGCAGAACCAACTGGAGTAACTCAGGCCAGAAGGCGGAGGGAAGAACCTCTCACCTAACGGGGACAGAGAAAAAGAGATTTTCTTTTGACTCACATTTGTATGCTAAAGAGACCATATAAACTCTACATAAAACATCTAAGGAAAAATAAACTTTGTAAGGAAAAAGAGTCATATTTACCGGAGCCAATGCCGCTGACCACAGCCCCATCCGTGAGCCCCGTGGTGACAGCATTATTTGTAGGAGCGTTGTGAGGGGCCAGACTGGGCAGAAACAGGCAGCTGTGGAGGAAGAGACAACACATGCATCAGAAGTCACCACTGCACCCAGCAAGTGGACAGGCCTGTGACGGCCAGGACACCACAGCCATGAGATCAAAGATCCCCAGGAAGTCGGGGTGCCTAGCAACACCCTTCCTATCTTTTAATTATGTGAGATTATCAAGTGATAGACTTAAAAATCTGTAATACTATCCTTGTAAGTTTAAATTCTTTGAAAATTAAGGTAAAATTTACATATGCAAAACCCATAAACGTAAGACCTCAATGGAGCCATTAGAAAAATTTCATCACTTGCAAACAATTTTCTTGTCTTATCAGTCAGTCCTTTCACCATTGCCCTGATCCAGAGTCCCCAAATACCTATGATTTGACAACGACCTACTAGAATATTCTTTTTTAAAATTTATATATATATTTATTGGTACATTTTAGGTATAAAATACATTTACATTTATCATTGGGTGTTTGTACCAGAACACGGTGTATCCTAGTTTTTATTTTTTCTCCCATTAACTGTGCACCCTTCACCCCCTCCACCCTTCCCTATTTACACAGAGTTTGATTCCATTTTTTTTTTCTTTCTCATAATTTTTCCTTTCCCTTCTTCCCTTTCCCTTTCCCCTCCCACCATCCCCTAACCCTTGGACTTTTTCTTATTTCAAATTACCAATTAATCATTTTAATCGTTTTCATCCTTATTTGCACTTTCAATTTCTCACACTAGAGAAGCTATTCAGTATTTACACATGTGTGTCCTATTTATTTCACTTAAGAGTATGGCCTCAATATGCATCCATTTAGCTATGTCTCTAGTTTCTCATTCTTTATCGCTGAGTAGTACTCCATTTTATAGAAAACCCACATCTTCTTTATCCTAGAATATTCTTAAAATACAACTACAGAGTTAGATCAACACATGAGAATCCTGTAAAACCTAGTACATCCATAAGTTATAACGTTCCAATAGCTAATTGACTGAAGTTATTAGTAAGAGTAGAAAAAGTTTGTGTTGACTCAAACTGTATTTTAAAATGGCCAAACAACCAGACATAGTGGTGCATGCCTATAATCCTAGTATTCAGGAGGCTGAGGCAGGAGGATTGCTGAGAGTTCGAGGCCAGTCTGGGCTACATAGTAAGTTCAAGGCCAACCTGAATTACATAGAGAGATTCTCTCAAAAAATGAACCAACCAAACAAACAAATAAAAAAGGCCAACAAAAGCATATAAACTTTATAATCTAAGCTATTAGATCTATTAACATTTGTGTATCTTTTTTGGCATTTAATGTGAAATGAATAATTGAATACTTACAATGTGTAAGACATTACAGTAATTTGAGGGACAGAATGGTGATAAAATCTAGTCAAAGATCTGTTGCTCTATTCTTTTTTGGTACCAGGGGGATTGAACTCAGATCCTTGTGCTTGCAGGGCAGGCAGTGGAGCCACTGAGCTAAATCCCCAGCCCTCTTGCTCTATTTTAATTTATGTATTATTCATACATTTTTATTTCTTGTATCAGGAGTTGGCAAACCTTCTCTAAGGGGGCAGATGATAGACAACTTACTCTGAAAGCCGAGGCCACCCACCCTACTGCCTACCACCAAAGCCACCAGACAAAAACCACACATAATGAGTGCAGCTGTGTTCAATGAAACCAAATTCATAAAATGATAACACTTACAAAAATCTTATTAACAAATATAAATTTGGTTCATGGGCCTTAAAATTACTAACTCCTTTATTATAAAAGACAGATAATGGGCAGCAGGGAGACAGATCTTCTTCTAATGGGAAGGGGACCAAGAGATGGAGGAAGGAGAAAGGAGGCGGGAAGGATGAAAAACAAATTAAGATGTAGCTGGGTGTGGTGCTACACGTCTGTAACCCCAGCACTTGGGAGGCTGTGGGTTGCAGGCCAGCCTGGACTACATAGTGAGAAGGTTTCAAAAATCAAACAAATAAAAGCAAAAAACAAAACAAAACAAAAAGGATTAAGATGTGTTATGTATACATACCAACTCTACATGAGAAATGTAAGTAATATATACTACAAAAATGTAATGTATACATACTTTAGAAAAAGAAAACTAGTATGGTGTTTTTCCAACAGATGATGTTATCCTCATATGGAGGACCCTAGAGGATGCCTTATATTGCAGAAAACCTACTGCCAGCCCTTAGAAAAGAAATTGAAAATGCATGTGCAGCAAGCTCAATGACCAAGGTTACCCAAGCAGCAGTTTGCCATACTAATAAATGTATGGAAGCTAATGGCCATCAATTTGAATACCTCTTATAGTTGCAGAGGCCAAAGGTGTCTTGTAAAAACACTTATGCAACTTTTTTCCTGAAGTGTATATACATTTTTTTGGTGGACTCTATATTTTAATCAGCTAGGTTTAAAACCTAAGACCTATTTGCAAAGGCAAGTATGAGACACAAAATGACAGACTGAGGCATGACTACCTCACAATTTCCTTACCCAAACCCTTCTAGGGATGTGTCAAATTCAACAAAAGCTGGAGTAACTGAGGACCCATGAAGTCTGATATCGTGTGGAGTTGTCATGGAGACGAGACACTTCACCCTGGTTAAGGGTACGGTGCTTCCTTCGGCAGATTTCACCAAGCTTTTGCTTATTCGGTAATGGTTATCTTCATGCAAGCTAAAAACGTTATCAGAACCCAGACCTTCCAGAGATGTGAGCATACTACCTGCAAGTCAAAGAAAATCTCTTGGGAAAACTATCATGTAGAATCTAAAAGTAGCCTTACAAGGCTGATTTGTCTTCAAGTACTACTACTCTTTAATTGTAAAACACAATGATTTTCTTTTTAAATACTAAGGCCATCATCCAGTTTTAATAAACTTAATAGCCTAATAAACTTCTTTAACTTAAAAAGCTGTGTTCCTTTTTAACATAACACTAAAGTAATGTGCACACTGTAAAAATCTAAGGAACTAAACAGTATAAATATGAAAACCCACCAGTAACCACCACCTAAGCCACTGTTTCAATGTAATTTAATTATAAAGCTCAGTTAGTGGTTTGTAAACCAGATTATACTTTTATTTTACAAAACTATTTTTTGTTATTTCTCTTTGAGAAGAAAAATTTTCAAGGAGCGTTAGGAAAAGTTATTTTTCACATGAAAAATATCAGATAAATAGGAGTACGTTGCTTCCCTTGTCTATATGTATATGAATGATAACAATTTCAAGAATGAGAAGACTAATTCTAACCTTCACTCCTTTCATACAACACTGAAAAGACAAATTCTAAACAGACTGTTCTGTCTTTCCAGAAATGCATCATGAATGTAAAGAAGAAAACTTTCTCTCAGACAATGATCCACATGAGTATATGTAACTATTTTCTTCTTAAATGTGCTAGACATTCAAGAACCACAAAACTATTTTATTTAATTAATTAATTAATTTATTTTTTGGTACTGGGGATCGAATTTGGAACCTTGCGCTTGCGAGGCAGGCAGCGGAACCACTGAGCTAAATCCCCAGCAAAATATTTTAATATTGTCTTAGAGAAAGCAGCTATTTTTGTTTCTACTCTTAGCAAAGGAAATCATAACTCAATTCTAAAGAACTATGAAAGTACTGTACAAAAGTAACAATAACAAATAAATGCATAAAGGGTCTGTATATTAACTGACATGAAAAACTATAGAACTTGTTGTTTTCCAATAAAGCTATGTTGGAACTCAAAAGATCTTAAAGTTTCCATAGCACAGCATTCTCTAGGAGGAAAGATTAAAATGGAAATAACAATGGTTGAAGGCTGTTAATCTGTCTGACTTCAGAATTCTCACTTGAAAAGTGAAGGCATGGATCCAGAGGATCACTACTTGCTCTCAAAGTGGCTATTTGTTGTATTTTCATAAGTTTTCCCTTTGTCTGTTTCACTAGTAATGCTCATCTTAATCCAGCAAAGAAATGCCTTGTCACACCACTAACTACGTGAAACCAATTATAAAGTAAAAGTGATGAGAACCCCAGAATTAACTGTGCCAGGAAATCCAGTGCAGCTGGGCTCCAAGCCCAGCTCTTGGGTGATGGTCCCCATGCTCTGAGAGGGCCTGGGGGATACCCTGACCGATGATTCTTCATCAGCCTAGTGGATGCCTCCTCCTCGGACGTACCACCCCTTTCTATTAAACAAGCATGAAAAGGGTCCGAGAAAGTCCTCTGCTGATTTCACATCCTTTCTCAGCCTTCTCTATCCCAACTTCTGCCCCGTCCCAGGGGGTGGCAAGCCTACATGAAGAGCTGGCCTATCACCTTGCTTCCAGTTCCAGGACAGCCTTTCCTCCGATGGGCTTGGTGCCCAGCTCCCTCCGGAAGCCACTGGCTTCACTTCTTTGCCTAATGGGCTTACATGCCTTGGTGTACACCTTTAACTGCTTTTATCAGTATTTCTAATTTCTTCTCCTCCACATCTTCCTGCAGCAGCTGTCCTACAATCCCACAGCCTGGTAGCAGTAACCCAATACTACAGAGTAGAGCCACTCTCTAGTCCAGGCAGCAAAAGTTACTTGAAAAGGTAAGGAAACCATGGATCTCCTTAGAAAGAGACATTTCCCCTTCAAGACAGGGCGATTTGGCCTGTCACTCTCTTCTCTGCACGCTTGCACCATCAATCACATCTTCCCTGCCCTAACTGCTCCCCTGCTCAGTTAACTGACCTATTACATCTTCACTTAAATAAAAACAAACCCCTTCTTTTTATAAACTCCTTAAAATAATATGAATTTAGTACAGCAAAGTGAAGGTCAAAGGTCAACTTACTTCTCATCTCTGGCTCATAACTCAGGGAACTTGGTTTGTGGACCCTGTATTGTTTGAGCAGTTTCTTGTCCCAGGCACCACAATTTAAAGGACTCGCCAAACGCAAAAACTCCCTATGAAAGAGACAAAGCAGTTATTCTTTGACTGTGAATATTATATAACCCAGAAACCAAACACAAAAAATGAGATTTAGTGAATTATAACACATTAGTTTAAAGACAAAAAGAAATGCAAAATTACTAATCACCTTATACTCAAGCCTGATCCACCTGCCTCAGCCTCCTAGAATGTTAGGATTACAGGCATGTGCCTTAATTACTTAATTACAGGCATGTTTCTTAATTACTTCCTGTGACTCCAATCTTGTCCCAACTCATTCCATTCTCCACTATAGTTACTATCTATCAAAATTAACATGTGTTCCACGTCACTGCCTGTCACATAAGACTCTATAATGGCTCAGTTCCAACTCCTCCTGGCTTAGCATGCAGTACCACACGAGGTGATTTCCACCTTAGTCTCCAACACCACTGCTCTAGTCTTTCCCAGTTTCTCTATCCAGGCCTGTTTCATTCTTCTAACTTCTTAGGAAGGCTGTGTTCCTCATTGCTGAGAATACTCTTTCCCTTACTTAAAAAAACACAAAAAAAACCTGGCTAACTCCTTCCCATACTTGATTTCTTTTTTTGGTACCGGGGATTGAACTCAGGACCTTGCGCTTGTGAGGCAGGTGGCAGAACCACTGAGCTAAATCCCCGGCCCCATACTTGATTTCTTAACTGTCATTTCCTCTACAGAGCCTCCTCTGAACCCCCCTCTCCAAATGTGGGTAAGTGGCCCTTATATCAACTTGGTAACGCTGCTATTATAGAACTCAACATACAGCATCTTAATTTCCTGCTTGCCAGACTATACATTTTTGAGAGTATGAAGCTTCCTGCTCCTCACCACGCCATGTCTGCCATGCAACAGACATCCAAAAAATGTATAATTTGCATTTCTACATCAGGAAAAACTAATAATGGATAAAGAAGAACTCTATCTATAAGTTTTACAAAACAACCTGCTATGTTCTTATCTCAAGCACTGACAAGAACAGAGAATATTCTGAGGGGCTAGGATCTAAAGGGCGCATGTCCTTCTGGAATAGGTGGGTAGAGGTCACCAACCAGACCTTACACACAGTAGGATTCCTTAACATCCTGTCATTTATGACATCATCTAAAAAATACACAATACCTTTCTTTATTTTCAATTTCCAATAGCACAAAGGAAGGGCTTAAAAATACAGGTACTTTAAGCCAGATTTTCATGCTGAATGGTATAGACAAGTAATTTATAACCTATGGCTTACAAGTAACCAGGTCATCTGACTTTTCTTTCCTTCCTTTTTGGTAATCCGCTACTTTAAAAGTGCCAAGAAGTGGAAACTGGATAAAGAAAATGTGTTTTTTTTAATAAAATGGAGTACTACTCAGCCATAAAGAACGAAAAACTAGAGTCATTTATAGCTAAATGGATGCATACCGAGGCCATACTCTTAAGTGAAATAAATAGGACACACATGTGTAAATACTGAATAGTTTCTCTAGTGTGAGAAACTGATAGTGTAAACAAGAGTTAAAATGATTAAAATGAATAACTGATAATTTGAAATGGGAAGAAAAGGTCCAAAGACAAAGGAGTGAAGGGAGGGGAAGGGGAAAGAAAAAGAGGGAAAGGAAAAACTATGAGAAAAGAAAAAAAAAATGGAAATGAAATCTATGTAAATAGGGAAGGGTGGAGGGGGTGAAGGGCACACAGGTAATGGGAAAAAATAAGAAGCAAGATATACCATGTACAGGTACAAGCACCCAATGATAAATGTAAACGAACTGTATACCTAAAATGTACCAATAAAATGTACCAATAAAATAAAAAAAAAAAGTGCCAAGAAGGATCAGGGAAAATATCACTGCTATTTTCCAAGATTTAGGACTGTGAACATGTCCACAGATAGCAGATGAGTAAATAGGATGACCTCATACAGCTTAGTGTTATCAAGGCCTAGCATACATCACCGTTTCATAAATGTTTATTGCACAGGCTTTGCTCAATATGTTATTAGCTTGGGGCCAGGGATTTAGCTCAGTGGTTTTGCTGCCTGCTGCGCAAGCACAAGGACCCAAGTTTGATCCTTGGAAAAAAAAAAAAAAAAAAAATGTTATTAGCTTGAAGTCAGCTTAAAAATTACAAATAAATGTCAACCATTTTTAAGAAAGCTCCTTAAATTTTTATAAGTAATTTAACAACAGATAGATATAATCTAATAAAGAGTGCTACACAGTCCTGAAATGACAAGTATGAGTATAGTGTTCTAAGTGCTATGTAATTTCAAAGGAAATACAGAAAAAGTTTAAAAATAGCAACAAGCAACTTCCATTTATAAAACTTACAGCCCTCTTTCTCTTGCATTTAGAGGTATATATGAATGTGTGTGTATTTCTTCAATGATTCACAAACTGTGGTATATCCACAACCTATAATATTATTCAGCAACAAAAAGAAACAAATGATGCAAGTAACAACTTGTACGCATGTCAAGAGCATTAAGGTATGAAAAATACTCCAAAGGCCTCATACTATTTGATTTCATATATGTAACATTCTCAAAATGATAAAATTATGGAGAAAGAGGGCAGAACTGTGGTTTTCAAGGGTTGGGATGGTGGAAGATAAGGGAATGACGCTAAAAGGGTGGCACTAGGGACACATCTCTGATGCCAGATCAGGTGGTGGTTACATAAATTGACACATGCATGCAATAAGAGAACATTATATTCAAATTTGTACACTTCTGCTCATACCAGCTTCTGGTTTTGATGCTATACTGCAGTTCGGTAAGATGGGACCATGGGGGACACTTGGTACAGAGGATAGGAAACTTGTCCAGTTATTTTTACAAGTTACTGTTGTATAGTATTCTAAAAGTTTAAAAGGTATTGTTTAAAGGTTCTATTCTATAAAAAGTTCTTGAGTAGACATAAGTGCTAGCCATATTAAACAAGACTTTATTTTTAAGGGAAAATGAAGTATAAGGGATCCTGATGACCAGCTGGTAGATTTGCTCTAGCTTCCCCCTTTGAGTGTTCTGTCCACTCTTTCTTGTGCTTTGTTGTTTTGCCCATGGTAATCCAATTGGTCACAGTCACCTGGCGGTCTGCATGAAGATGAAGAGGACTACTGACCTCAGCACCATGGGCTCCAGAGCCTGTGAGGCCAGCCGCTCAAACATGCGCTGCAGGGGTGGGTGCAGTGCGTGGTCCTCATCGGCCAGGGCCGTGCTGCACCGCTGCAGCAGCCGAGCATGAAGACCAGCTTCACACATGACTTGCTGGTTTCTCTCCGTGTGCACCAGGGACTGCAAAATGTTTGCCACCTCAAGCTGAAGGTCCAGAGCATGCTAAAGGCAAAAAAGAGATCTACATCGCCAAGGTGTTCTTGGTGAGATGCGTGAGACAGTTCTTTCTACAGGAAGCATACCTCATCTGTGTCTGTGTGTGCGTGCTGAGCTACAACTGGAGCCCTATTTACTTATTTATTGGTTGACTTCTGATTTTTTACTTTTTTCAGTACTAGCAATTGAATCCAGGGCCTTTGCACTGAGCTACATCCTGAGCTTTTGAAACAAGGTCTTGCTAAGTTACCCAGGCAGGACTCGAACTTTGGATCCCCCAGCCTCAGCCTCCCTGAATACTGGGGTTACAAGTGTGTGTCACCACACCTATTTTTTTCCCCAGTATTGAACCTACGGCTCCTGCACCGCTGCTTTTACTTTTTATTTTGAGACAGAGCCTCACCAACTTGCTCAGACTGACCTCAAACATCTTGCCTTAATGCCTCAGTATCCGGTGTAGTGGGGATTGCAGGCCTGAATCACAATGGCCAGCTGAAACCCACCCTTTAATATGAGGTCTGTAGATGTTGCAAAATACATTCAGACAAGGGCCAAGGGTTTAGCTCAGTGGTGCCATGCCTGCCTTGCAAGTGCAAGGTCCTGAGTTCGATCCCAGTACCAAAAAAAAAGTAAGGCAGTCACTTATTCTAAAGCTTCAAAATATATTCAGACAAATTAAGGGACTCGCTTAGAATGAATGACACAGCAATTCCAGAACAGGGCTGGACAAACATTTTCTATTTTAATTTTGCTATAAGCACACCCACCTAGACTCTATTCTCTTCCAATTTTTCTGGACTACATGACTACAAAACTCATAGTACTTCTACTTTTAAAGAAAAAGAGGGTATGATGTCTTTTTCCATGGTGGGTAAAAAAACTAGCTTAAAGGAAGGCCTAGCATTTACCTTTGTGACACCTTAGGCCTTAGAAGCCAAATGACATTGAAAAAAATTTGACCCAAACTCCTACTTTTGAGTGTCACATGTCAAAAAAGGTAAATAACTTCAATGTAGTATTATCAATCATTTTTCTTTATTACTCACTAACAGTTTCCACTGTTGAGCAGGATTTACAAGGGAAACAATTATCCCAGCATCAGAAGTAACCATCTTGATTACATCTATAACAAATAATTACGTTCCAAAACCATATATACATCCTGAACTCCAATAGAACCCTATGTTTTCCTTTATCTGCCTTTACTACTTTAGTACTTGTTTAGTACCTCTGACCCCCTTGCTCACGCAAACACCCGATCCTTCCACTCCTTGAAGACAGAAGGAACCCATGGGTCTGTACTCACCTCTGGCTGAGTCATGGACCCTACTGAGGCCAGGAGGTCCAGCATGGCAAGCATGGCCCCAGGGTGGATGATGACAGCGTCCGAGCTCTGGAGAGATGATGGGGTCATGTGGACTTTCAAGTCAGCAACATTTTTTGCAGGGTAAACAGGGGGAGTGGAAACAGAATGATATGCATGCCTATAAAATGAGAAAGAAGGGTTATTTATATTTAATTCCATTCACATTCTCACTCATTTTCCTCATCTTGTTACTTTTATTCATCAGTAAGCAAAAAGTTTTGTAATTCAGGGAAAGGTTATAAAATACCTTATGGTTGGAAAGTAAAAAACAATATATTAGGAACTCTTCTGAGTCACATATAGACATTTAGCTATCATTTCTTCTTGGCTCTTATATGTCTTTACCATTTGGTACTTCAGTTGTTTCGTTAAAGAATGGCACCTATACCAGAAGATATACAAACTAGATGAAACTGCAGTGATCCACAGCTCTAGCTGACAGTTCACTGTATCTGATGAGAGTCCGTATGAAATTATACTCCTGAATGAGTCTGTTTTCTTCTAAAGCTGCCTGTGTGTTTTTACTCCTAGCCCATGGGCAACACCACTGAGAACTAGAGATCAAAGTGGCCTACTCTGCAACTGAGACAACTGAATCAGGGCTACCTCGGAGCCAAGGCCACTGGAGAATAAACACAGTAAGCACCTTAGAAGTTTTTCTGTAGTTTATTTGGAACTACATTCACTCTTTGCATTTATCCTACTACCACTGAAAATATTCATTACACTTTAAAAACATTTAGATGGCATATATTGCACAGCAAGTGTCTTGAGCTAGGAAGCCAAGTTGTGTCCTGAATATGCACATTTTTCATCAATGGTCTCTATTCCTATTTCACACTCTCATCTGCAATTCATGAGTTCTGCGAATTCTGAATCTTGGCACGGAGGAACAGATGCCGTGGCTACAGCCTATGGGAGCTCAGTGCTTCAGTGAGGATGCGGTGAGCTCGGCATACCTTCTCTAATGCTCAGCTCTTGCCGAGCCGCAGAGTTCCAGCTCCCTGGCACGAGAGCAGCTTGGGAAATGCGCTTTGCACCAGTGATTTAGGAGCAAAGAACTGGCACTGCCATGTTTTCAAGGCAACAAAACAAAACACCATTTTTTTGTGTGCAGATTCCAGGAAAGCATTCAGCTCCAAGTACAAAAAGCACACAGCCCTTCTAGTTTTATTTAAAAGCCAGCCTTTCTACCCATTCAGACTTCCATTCCTTGTGTTTTGCTGTTTTGCATGAAGAAAGATTTAAATTCTATACTTACTAAAAAATAGATTCCTCAAAGCTTATTTCTAACAGGTTCCTTTTTCCTCTGTTGCTCCCTTTATATTTTGATCTATCTAAAAACTTCGTAATTTCTCTATAGTGTAACAAGGTTTAGCAACCTCTGAATGCAGAAATTCTGTAAAACTGTTTTCATTACACACAAAAAATGACTCAAATTTGAAAAAAAAGAAGTTCTAACTGTAAATTTTACTTACTGGACTTCCTTTAACACTTACTTCTGAATTAACGATTTAATCCAGATTTTCACTTACATTATGGCCATACCCAGGAAGACACCTTTATGTGTTTGAACTCTTCACTAATATATAACTACTATAGTAGTAAACTTTTTAAAAAGTTATGTAAAAACCAAAATTCTCATAAAGGAGTTTTGCGGTTTTCAAGCTAGAAAAAATATGGCAGACATTAAAATCTAAAACATGGTATTTGTTTCAACTAAAATTACATGTATTATACAACACTGATTTCTACTAAGCTGCTTAGATTACCACCATGGGTATTACCACTTTTTGAATGTATGGACTATGGTATGTTTATTAAATAGTTAATTCATAAGTAATACCTGCCCATTTGCAAAGACAGGATAAAATGACACTTCAGTATTGACTTAATTATCACGTTGCAGTTATTTTTAAAAGTTACAGAAACTGCAATTTATTTCAGCTTACCTTCTCATCTGCATTTAAGGACTCCTCTTCCTCTTTTGGGAATAGGTAAGGATTGAGATTCTGAATCTATTCTCTTTTATCCCCAAGAGTGCAGAGGCCCTGAGTACTGGAGTTTGTATCTGCATGGCAACTGCACTTGCTACCTCCCTCCCAAGGCAGATCTGGTTTGTACAGTTTAGATTATCTTGTATTTTGTTTTCATTTCCTCCAACACTGACATTGTTCAGGTATAATTTGTTCTATAATTCCTTCTGAATAATAAATAATGAAAAAAGGCTGTGTTCTCTCTCACATGGTGGTCCACCCTCAAGCAGACCTTTTCTTTTCCTGCTTTTACTTGGCCCAAATTCACTCTACAGAGCTGGTTTATTTCCCTACTTTTAATAAAATTTTACTATCATTAAAAAGAAAGAAAGAAAGAAAAAAGACCATGTGCTTGAATTTTTAAACATGAGGTTGGCTGGTTCTTTTTCTCCCAATTTTTAAAATAATCTGAGAAGAATCTCCAGCATTTCACATGTCAGACAAGTTACAAGCTCAGAACTTCCTTACATGAATGTTCCATTGGTCATAAAAACACAATAGAACAGTGGTTTCTTCTTCTGCTGACAAACCCAACATGTTTTGCCAAAAGGAAAAGCTGCTCATGAGCAGATGTAATTTGTTGAGAAGTTCTAGAAACAGTGGGACTGAAATTCTAATTTCAAAAGGTACTGTCCAGTATTTGAATTTGTGGAGTAAAAATATATTTCTTGTACAGTTAATTCCTTATGATTCTTATTGCTAACACAATGTATGCAGCACGGCTAGACTGGCAAGGTGAACATGAACACACTGGACTGGGGCGTGGCTTAGTGCAGAGCACCTGCCTGGCATGCATGAGGCCTGCTTTCATTCCCCAACACTGTAAAACAACCAAGCAAAAAATACCACACTGATTTTCATAGCATGAATAATGTCAAGAGCTGCTTGTTTTGGATAGCATCCCTCTGTGAAACTAATGGAGAACACACATGAATCAGGGGTTCCCTCAGCTAGTTCTGGTGACTCAGTAAGATTTTTCCTTGCAGGGAAACCTGGTGTATCTACATGTAGAGGTGCTGCAAATGACAAAAACAAAAACAAAAACTGTTTCTGGTTGAAGGCATAAATAACTATGCAAAAGAAGAAAATGCTCTCATCCCTTTGCTAATTACCATTTAAACACGTTTCAGTGGATTTTCCTTTTTAGGAAATGTACTCCTTTAATCTGTGAATTTCTATTTATTGGGTGTAGGTTAATACAAACGACTAAATGTTTTCAAATACAGCAATTTTTAGGCCTTTAGCATTTATGATCTGATCATTGTATTTTAAAATTGGGATCTTTCAGTAATTTCAACTATTTAGTAACTAAAATTATTTCTCTAACATTTGGCAGTTCTTTGGGATCACGAGCACACATAAATCTTCAGACACAAATATTTTTATACTTATTCATTAGCACCAAAAACTCTCCTAAGTCAACTCAAATTTATCTAGTTTATGGTTTCCTGAATTAAGACCAGGTCTTTTAGAAACAAGGGCTGGGAATGTGGGTCAGGGTAGAGTAGTTGCTTGGCTAGAGTGAGAGCCTGGGTTCAATCCCCAGCACCCCAAAACAAAACAAAACAGTAGTTTCTGGTACACATAGGTTGAAGAACCATAATTTCATTTAGAACTATTCTGAACTATGCTATGGTTAAAAGCCCCAGCATAAATGATGCGATGTAAGCCCCAGTATAAATTTAAGAGAGATAAAAGTACATCTTTCCACATAATGAGTATTACTATGGAAATATAGTTGACCCTTGGTATTCATGAGGTTTGGGGTCCTGGACCCCAAAATCCACAGATGCTCAAGTTCCTTGTATAAAATGGTACATTGTGCATACAGCCTAAGTACATCTTCTCATGAGCTTTAAGTCATTCCTAGATTACTTATAATCCCTAAAACTGTGTAAATAGTTGCTATACTATATTGTCTGAGGAGCAGATAACAAGAAAAGTCCACACATGCTCACTACAAATGAAATTTAAAAAAACGTTTTCAATCTGAGGTTCTCTGAACCTACAGATAGAAGGCTGGGTACATGGTGAGCAACAGAATGTGTGATCAGTACTTCTGGCCCACTGACCACAATTATATTCAAGTTTCAAAATCTGAACAATAGTAGTCAGATTAAAACAATAATACATGCCTGGCGTGGTGGTGCTCATCTGTAATCTCAGCCCTTGGGAAGCTGAGGCAGGAGGATCATTGTGAGGTCAAGGCCAGCCTAGGCTACATAGTGAGTACAAGGCCAGCCTGAACTACATAGTGGGACTCTGTCTCAATCAATCACTACATACATACATATATACATACATACATACAAACAAACAATTTAGCAGATCCTTGGGATCTGTTTTTTATAAAAGCCACAACTAGAAATATTTATATAAGAGTTAAAGATCTGCATTTGCTTATGAGGGAAACAAAGGAAAGAAGAGGACTTGGTGCCCATGGCACAGACTGGTCACCCTCGGTGCAGCTGCGAACGGACTCATCCACACCTCTTCTTTGCACTTTAGTAAGCACCTGCTGCTATGTACATTCAAAAGCTCTATAGACGAGGCAGATGAGATTAGTTTACAGCTTTGCATGGGAACTGGTAAAATAGGTACTAGGCAGATAAATGTCTTCACTTTTTTAAAGGTTAGCTTTGACAAGTCACCAGTACAGCAACAGATTTCAACTGGCTGAACCTGAATAAGAAAATACACATTTCCTTTCAAAGCTGTGATGTTCACTCTGGAGTCATAGCACAAAGCAAAGAATGGCCCGGCCCCAACACTTAAAAGTGGAAAGAGTGACAAGCATCCTATTAAAGGGACTTTAAAAGTGTTCATTGCTAACTTTTTTTTGGTACCGGGATAGAACTCGGGTCCTTATGCTTGCAAGGCAGGCAGCGTAACAACTGAGCTAAATCCCTGGCCCCACTAACTTATTTTTAATAAGAGATTATACCCACTCTTAAAACAAAATATGTAGTTTAGATTACATAATAGAGATGTGAGCCTCTACATGTCCTTCATCACTTCATAGCATAAACACATTTTATGTTTTTTATTTTGTTTTTATTTTGTTTAAAAATATTTTGTTGTTAAATTTTATATTATTCTTAGCAATGCTCTCAAAGGAAATAATCAATTTAAAATCTAAAAAATAACAAATTGAGTAGCAAGAAATTTAAAGTTATTAAACAGAATCACCACATTAATACATAAGTAAGCACAGGAAAAAAACCTTCACAAATAAGATTGACTTCTCTGAGATCAGTACCTTTTCCTGGACAAAGCTGGTGTCCCCCAAGGAGAGGGGAGAGAAGACTCACTTGTCAGGCAAGGAGGGATCTGTTCTGCACGACTATAGACAACAAAACAGACAGGGTGGTTTAGAGAGGTTAGAAGAAGAGAACACCAGGGTGGCAGCTGGTTAGTTTCACAAGAAATGCCAGTAAAAGTTCAATAAGGAGTATCCTCCATGTTCAGCAGGAACGGAGAACACAACACATGCACTGAATGAAACAGAAAGCATGCTCAAGGAAGATGCTTCTCCTATTCATGTTAACATTTAACACGTTGGTTAAACAGATGCTCTGGGCCCTGTTTCTGACAATGCAAACCAAAACTAAGGTATACTAACTATGGTCAACAGGAAACAAGGGAAAAGGACCTGGGTTTCATTACACAACTCTGCATGGCTTAAGTTTACAGTGCACACCATCCTATGTCTCCTATAAGTTAATAATATACACATATTTTTATTTTCAAGCTGGGAAAAAGTGGGAAACAATTTTCTTACATAACCTGGATTTTCAAATCTGAATATGAAAGACTAAGAAACATTTCTATAAAGCAAGAAATCTCTCTGTAGATATTTAAAAGTAGATATTCCATGGTAAAGGAAACAAAATGCAACAGAAGCTCTGGTTACTTGGTCTATTTCTGGGTGCAATATATAAACAATTCATTTAGTTTAGGAAAGAAAATTGGTAGCTTAGAAGTGATGATGTTTGGAACAGATAAATTAGCAGCATGATCATTCTTACATTATTTTTTAAAAGAGGACTTAATTAAAAACCAACTAGAGTTGAGGCTCAGGTAAAGAGGCACCCCTGGGGTTTCCCCAGAACTCTGGAGTCCCCCATCGCAGAGGTTGCCAATGTGCACTGTAACTGGTTATCAGCTAAGGACAGTGAGGAACATGGCAGTCTGGTACACAGCTGAGTCCTCATTGGCTGAATGCACAATGGCTTGGCATGCAGCCAGCGTCAGTAAGCACTTGTGAATGACTCTGGCGGTCTCTTGAGCTTGGCTGTTCAAATCACTGACGTGACTCTTAGGGAGCTCTAGCATTTCTCAAGGATTATGCAACGTTGAGAATGACAGGCTCTCTGTCATCTATTGGAAATACACGACTATAACCTTAGTAACCATGTTCCCCCATTGATAACCAGTATCAGTAAGTCCAGATGCACCTAATGTTTTCTGAGGGTAAAGAGGAAGAAGAGAACAATAGTCAATGCTGGCATCAAAGAAAACTTCATAGGGACTTCTATTAAGTGCAATGAAAGCTAACTGAACCTGGGTTTATGAATTATCTAACGGCCTCCATGCTGACAAACTGAACACCAGGGCAACAGTAATTTCTCAAGGTGATACACACTAGGCAAACAGGAGAAGGTACACTTGTTTTCACCTTTCTTGGTTAAGGTACAACTCGAGTCCTACTGCTGATGTCATGCTGAGTACACCCCGTAATTTAGAAGACAGAGCAGAGCCATACCTGTCAAAAGAGTCTGTGGCTACTTTGTAGAGATAAATAAAGAGTTTACTGCAGTGCCGTAAGGTGGGTGACACGGAGTCCATGGAAATCGCTTCTTCCTCTAACAGTCTTTGAAATGGCTGTGTGTTTGAGGGGAAGACGTTCATGGCACTTATTTTTCTTAGGTCTGAGAAGCAGCCAAGAAATCTAACGGCATCTGCCAACTTCTCGTACTGAATCTCTGTCTTGAAGAAGTGAGAGTTGGCTGGCTCATAGCGCATGGCTGCAGTCAGGGTACAGAACACAGTGTGGAGGAGCTCAAACACTTGATTCTGGTTCACTTTCTCCCAGCCGCTCTTGGGGGGACAGCTCAAAGATCTCTCCATGGCAACAAGCAAGGATGTAATGTACACAAATCCTCCAACTTTCCTAAACACCGTTCTTGAACGATGGCTTTCTCGAAGGACAGACAGAAGGGCCTAGAGGGGACAAGCAAACATAACTGGGATTTTTAAAACACCAAAACATGAATGTCAAAGGCGAACCATGCATGACTATAAAAGGAGAACACCATTCTGTGAACATCTGATATGAATGTATTTGTCATTTACCCAGTAAGTAATTGTATCAAAAGCACATCAAATATTTTGCTAATTACAAAATGCCGTATTAAAGGCAGAAGATAAGTTCAGGTAACATTATCACACATTTCTTATAGACAGAGGTTATACCCAAATGATGGCTGACCAGCTTTTCCTCCATGCTTAACTGACAATGCCATCAATAAATTCAGTTTACAAAGTAATTTTAATTTTATTACATAAGTAAGATACATAACTCTAGTATAGCTTTATACCATTATGAAAACATATGTCTGTGAATGTGTATATAAATGGAATTTATTCTAGGAAGGGTCAGAGATGGTCAGGGCAGCCAAGATCTAAGCCTTCTGGTTCAATATAAAGTGACCATATACTCATGTCTTAGAAAGGGGATTCAATTTGGAGGACTTACAAGACATTTTCTCTTGCAAAGTGAGTTGGAGCCTGAGGGCTAAAATTCTGCCCTTTCCCAGAACAGCTTTTAAGAAATAAAACCTAAAGTAAACAAGTAAATGGAGCTCTTCATTCATTGAACTGCTATATTTTAGCTTAGCTCATTGTTAAAAATAGCATTATAATATCACCTGAAGTTTTACTGGGCACTTACTATGTACCAGGCATTAGGAGCTTTCTCATGTTATCTTCTTTAACCCTCTCTACAATCCTATGTGTTAGATACTACAGGTTAAATAACCCTTATCTAAAATGTCTGAGGCCAGAAATTTTCCAGACATTTTTCAGAATATTTGCATATATGCAATGAGATATTTTGAGGATGGAACCCAAGTCTAAATACAAAACTCATTCGTTTCTTATATATCTTATACATGTAGCCTGAAAGTAATTTTATGCAAATATTTTTAATGATATTAATGAAATAAAGTTTCATGGTATGGCACTGTCCAACTGTAGCACAACATCCAGCACTCAAAACCTTTCAGAATTTGGAGCATTCTGGATCTCAGATTTTCAGATTAGATATACTAAGCTGGGTATGGTGGCCCACACCTACAATCTCAGCACTTAGGAGGCTGAGGCAGAAGGATCACAGCAAGTCTGAGGTCAGCGTGGGTTATAAAGTGAGTTCAAGGCCAGTCTGAACTACACAGCACAATCTTACCTCAAAAAACAAAAACAAAACCAGAACAAATTAGGGGTGCTCAACCCTAATTATTTTATTACTATTAATATTTTACAAATAAGGAGTTAGGCCCCAACATGGTGAAATAATTTGCCAAAGACCGTACAGAATATATAATGGCAGAGGTAGGATTTAAACCCAAGATGGTCTAATTTCCCTTCTTGTATACTTAACCATGACATTATACAGCTCTGAACTACAATCTGAAATTTGTTTAAACATACACCGGGCTTCTTTCCCTTCTGTTTCAGTGTTTATAATATAGCTGGTGTCTACTATTACTTAAGACATAATTTATAATCTTTCCAGTTGTCAGGGGTCAGGTCTACTACTTACAAGGCAGTTGGTTATATGATCTCCTTAAACTTTCCCATGTGATAAATAGGGCATGACTTATTTTATAGGGCTGCTAAGGAGTAAAATGAAAAAAAATACATAAAACTCCTAGTACATTATTAATATCTATTAGAATATCCATTACGTATGTATGTACAAGGTAACATGTAACATTTTATTTCACATGTGGGTAACAGTGGGTGATTTCGATTGAAATATATATATAATATTTATTAAGATGCTCCATTTGGCTAATTTATTTTTAATTTAAGATAATTCCTATAAGTCAAGACAATTACTGTTAAGGTTTACTAACAGTAAGTCAATGTATACTGAAATGCATGAATGATTAGATTTTTTCCAAATCCCTAATGTGTATGAAATTATAGATTTTTTGGTACTTTGGATTTCTGAAATTTCCCTGTCTCTAACTGAAACATAAATCAATTGAAAATAATCTCGGGTTTTAGCAGCAAGAGTAGACACAGGCTCATCAGGCTCACCCTCAGGATGTCAGTCTTCAGCTGCAGCTCCGTGGGTGGGGCCGAGTGCATCAGCCCCAGAAGGGTGCCCATGTCGTCATCCCCATTGGGAGACAGCACCAGCTGCTGGATGGTCATCAGGGCATGCTGCCGGCACTGTGGGTACCGCACGATGTTGTGTGCACACCTGGCTCCTCCGAACTCTCGGAAGATTCCTTGAAGGAAGGAGAAAAGCATGGAGAACTTGAATGTTCTGAGGGCAGTCACGGAATTAAATCCAATTTCTTGGATAGACAGCAATTCAAAAGAATGCAAGTAGGGCTGGGGATTTAGCTCAGTGGTTCTGCCGCCTGCTGTGCAAGCGCAAGGACTGGAGTTCGATAACCGGTACCAAAAAAAAAAAAAAAAAAAAAATGCAAGTAAAACCTGCACAGCTATTTTGCCTTTTAAATGACAATGCTATACTATAGGATGCCAATGCACATACCCAGTTTTTATAGATTTCTTTTTTTTTTCATTAATTTTATTGGTATATTTTAGGTATACAATATGCTGACATTCATTATTGGGAATTTGTACCTTTACATGATAGATCTTGGTTCTTATTTTTTTCCTCATTCCCCTGCACTCCCTTCAACCCCTCCACCCCTCCCTATTTACAAAGATTTTGTTTCCATTTTTTCCTTTTCTCATATTTCTTTCTTTCCCCTACCTCACCCCACCCACTTCCCCTTTCCCTTTGGACCTTTTCTTCCTATTTCACATTATCTATTATACATCTCTAGATTTCTTAATGCAAGAAAGATGAATGGTCTGATACATTCACCATGTCCAAACACTCCAAACCTAGAACATGCAGAAATTTCACAGGTAAACATCAGGGGGCCTAACACAGAAACCAATTTATGTAAAAAGTTTTAGATAAACGATGTACCAAATAAATGAGATTGACAATGAATAAGGCTTTCGAAATAATATCAAGAGTAGAATAAGTCACCCTGAGAAAAACTGTAAGGAACTAACATTTTAGTCACACAGGTGGACAGAGGAACAAAGACATACTCTAAGCAGGAAAACCAGCCATGATGCTGTTCCAGAGCTGCCATGCAGCTCACTAAAGGGACCCTCATCCCTACCATGCAGCAGCTCACAGCCACACAGCTGGTAAGTGTGGGGCCAGGTCCACAGCCTTGCTCCTGCCCACAGGGACACTATTCTCAGAGCAAATACTGACCATGGGTGTGAAAACATGCACCAAGTGAGCCAAGTCACAGACTAATGTCCCCTAAGGAACTCTACTCTTTATGATTTTAGACTAGATGGTCTACAACTCCACTATTGACTATATCAAAATGGCACCATTATTATTTGTATGTCTGGTCACCTGTGAAACCTGAATTTCCTTCTGACTTGTGCTTCAATGAATGTTTACTGTGAGTAACTGACAGTGTCTTCTGCTGTGGCAGCCACTGTCCTCATCGTTGTGGCTGTTTGCTAACTATATAGAATTCCATGATCTTGCAGTGAATGTAGGTCATGTGCTTGAGATTTAGTACATGCAATTTGTGACACCCTTTGATTATGGGCAGGTCATGCTTACTTAACTACTAGCTGTCAGGGAAGGACCATCACATAACTGTAATGGATAATATTTCCTAAATGCTTACTATGAATAATGTAGTATTTTAAATGCCTTAACAAGGAAAAGAGAGACTGGATGAAAGAGCCATGTAAAAATGTTTGGCATCCCAGGAGGTGCATTAAGCAACTGTCACATAGGGCGAGCTCTCCAATCCCTTATAACAGCAGGATGGCCCAGGTCCTCCCTCTACAACTCTGTGACACGTCATCAAAATTTGCAGAATAAATTATTGTTCACATATCTTTATTATGCTTCTCAGGATCTCAGTCAACTAAATCTAATTGGTGGAAATAAGGAGATTATATATCACACCAGAAAATGTAGCCACAGTACCATTAAGCTTCATCATACTCACTGTTTCAATTACCTTCTAAATTCAATCAATTCTATTTGGCATTTGCCAAAATTGTATTTAAATAATTAGTTATATAATTAATGTGTTTACATCTTTCTCAGTTAGACTGTAATCTTCTTGGAGACAGAATTATCTCTGCATCTCTAAAACCCAGCACGGAACCAGGTGCACACAGTGTATTTTAAACATGCTGAAGGCCAAATTTCCCCTGCATTCAACACAGTCACGCCTCTGTGCAGGGGGCTCCATTGTGCAGGGCCTTCCCGTAACACGAAAGCATGTGCCAAGCTCCCAGCATATCCTCCAGAGGTCACTGAGGTCTGGGCCCAGCTGCTCACCTCAACTCCCACCCCCCTTGTTCATTCTTCAGGTTGCACTGACCTTATTACCTCATAGCTTTTGAGTGTTCACTAAAATTTCCAGGACTCTTTTTAAACAAGCACAATAGTTTATAAATACAGTTGGACTGTCTGTTAATTATACAAAGAAACTGAAACCACAGCTAAAGCAAACTACTCAATGAAATATTTTACCTTGGAAAGATTAAGTTTTAATAGAGAAGAATATTTTGATATTTCCCTAAGGTTTTTTTTTTTTTCTTTTGGTACTGGGGATCAAACTCCGGTCCTTGCACTTGCGCAGCAGGTGGCAAAACGACTGAGCTAAATCCCCAGCCCCCTAAGGTTTTAATGTTACAGTACTCCAACTTGTATTACCATAAAATTAAGAAAATCACCATATAAAGCAGATATTTTGGGGAAAAAATGCAAATTATTCAAATAAGAATGCATTATGTAAGTAAAAAATTAGAAAAAAACTAAGCACAAGGCATGGTATGAAAAAAGCAATTAAAAACATTTTCAAATAGTAACAATGTAATATATTTTGTCATTAGTGCACTTCAAGTGGTTAAAAAGGGCTGCACTTTGAAGGCTGTGACCGTCCCATCAATGGATCAACAGTTTTTCCTCCAAGTGCAGGCGCTTCTCAGAGCGAGGGCCCCTGAGAACCATAAACAGGGCCGTCCTGCTCGTGACTTTCCAGTTACCTGCGTTCGTGTTGGACCCCTGCAGGAGCACAGTCAGTGTCTCCATGACCAACAGAGCCAGGTGCTTTTGGTCTTCAACTGAACTATTGTTTCTTGAGTCCCCTACGAAAAAAGTTCAGATGCAAATCACAAAAGCAATACGCTTATTTTTTCTTGATTTAGTTTTAATAATTCCTTTAAATATTTCCCTGATATTCACTTTCCACTAGAACAGCTGATATAATACAACCTTTAAAATGATATGTGTATCCAACATCGTGCTAAAAGTGAGCTCAAAATGAACAGATTTTACTAGCAAGTTATCTAATAAATATTAAAAATTAAAATGTCAAAATTAAATACATAAACCCTAATAGGGATTTTAATTAAGGGTGTCAACAGGAGAATGCTAGATTTTAATGTACCAAAAAGAAAGAAGACTTCAAGAATAAACTGACCTATTCAATTTGTATTAATTTACACTTAATACTAATTACCAGAAATAACTACACTTCTTATAGATTTATCAAAAAGGTACCTAATGATAATATGTATGTGTAAATAACATCCCAAAATATATATTTGCTTTCTACAAGAAAACCATCTGAAATAGCCACACATTTAATTATACAGAATAATAAATTTTGATTAATAATTCCAATTATTTCCAGATTTTTTAAAATTCCCACTTAGAAGCAGAAAATAACAAACACTAGATATGAGGATCACACATGCTATTCCTCAGCTTCTACTGAGGAAAAAACTCTTCCCCAGTTTCCTAACAGAAGTTTGGTTGAACCAACAGACTTTGGGAAACATTCACTAGAATGTCACAGTAACACACACAAGGAAGTCACTCGAGTTGAAAACCACAGGAAAGGCACAAGAGGAGTAAACAACCTTCCTAAACCCCTTTACCAAACAAGAACAAAGTTATGGAAAAGGCTTTACCTTGTTCATGCAGTGCCTGAGTTGGATCTTTCAAGAGGGCAGCATATTTATGCAAAAGGTTTACCATGACCTCCAGAAGGCCCACCTCCCTGAACACATCTTTAAATATGTAGTCATGTCTTGTAAACTTAAGAAGGGTTCTCATGGCAACAATGCTACAGTGGTAAGAAGAGCTAGATTTTAAGAGGATACTAACACTAATAAGTTCTTTACAAGGGATGTAATTTAAGCTAAAAACAACAAACTCCAGCATCTCAAAGTATTTGTTTTGGACTTCTGGGAGTTTAGAAATCTTCTCAGCAAACTGTGACAGAGTGTGCTGTGACTCTAGGATGAAGTAGTTGGCATTGTCGGCCATATAAATGTTTGTGATGGCATCCAGGATGATCTGGGCCAGGAAGCTGGTTTTTGCTTTTAAAAATGCATTCTGAAGAACTGCAAAGGCCTGGATGTTTCTCACACTGTGACCTAAAATAGGAAACGAGAACACAAAAGTAGGTGCTATGTGATATTTTAGTCATGGCAAATTGATTTGTATAAACATAACATGAATTTCAGCATTTACCACCTATTTGCTAAGAACATGCCCAGTGTGCACAAAAGGTCTTATTTTTCCTTAATAGGTTCAAATCATTTAATTAAAAATAAGTAACACCAATTAAAACTTTAACGTGCCATTATAAACATTCCAATTCAAGACTAGCATGTGTCAAAAAATGAAAGTGCTTTAGACAGAATAAAATCATATTACATTACATAGGCTGGCTTTTGGCGTTGGAAATATGTGTTGCATGCTGTTTCCTCTAAGGCTGATCTTGACTGCAAGAACAGCCACTTCTCAATTTGAAAAGACTGAGGCTGAAAAATGTAACCAACCGGGTATCGCAAGAATGAATGGAAGGAAATTAGGAGGGGGGATTCTCTAAGTCTCAGCTTTCCCGTTATAATTACAGCATTATAATTTTCATAAATTTTAATTTGGTAATTTTTTTCAAGCTAAAATTATAATTTCTTTATATAAACATTTGTTAAAGCAATTTGCCACCTATTAAATATATTTTTAAGCCTTTGATTTTCAAATGCATCAATTAGAAAATAAACATCTTTATACATGGATGCTGTGGGGCAAATTAATGACACTAATACACAGAAAGTTACATTTGAAGCACATAAAAACAAAGGTTTGCCTCTAAAAATTGTCCCTAGTTCCACAACTATTAGGTGTATTTAAGCATTTGCAAGAGTGACAACAAATGTTAACACTGATTGTTATACAATAAATTGGATTTTAGAAACACGGTATAAACAGAACTAGGAAAAACACAAAATGGGTTAGATAGATTGCTAAGAAATCCTGACATGAACATCTCTGAAAAATGCAGAATTTTAAAAATCTTCAGCCTATACATTATTTCAATTTTCCTCTACAACATCTAAATGTATTTGATATATGGCACATATCATGGGTTTATCTTTATTTTGAATTCCTTGCTAACAGTATGTTTGCTCATTTCAGGACATTTTAAACTTTTTACTACCTGTAGACCACCAAAAATCAAGCTTAGATAAATTAATATACAAATATAAAAGCCTGACTACATGTGAGAAAAGTGACAAATTAAGATAAAAATGAAGTCTAGCCAATACTGTACACCTTTCAGCTATGTGATAATATTAATCATCACTAAAGAAATTAGAAGAGCTACATTTAGGTTAATATAAAAAAAAAATCTAATTTTTTGGGTAAGTTTGGTCGTTATTTGGTTTCAAGCAATGTTGTTCACAAATGTAAGACATATTAGGGACTGGGGATTTAGCTCAGTGGTTCTGGTGGCTGCTTCGCAAGTGCAAGATCCTGAGTTTGATCCCCGGTACCAAAAAAAAAAAAAAAAAAAAGACATATTAATAACCAACAACGAGGACAAACTACCATAAAGGCAACAATAGTTTAAACAACACTGTGCACATGTAAACACAATTAAGTATAAAATATGGTAATCTTCATATACAAAGATAACCTTAGAAATAGAGGTCTGCACTTTAGCAGGCTTACAAATTTTAAAGTAAGTAATTTTTCAATTCATCTTTAATCCTATCTGTTATCCAACTCTTTTAGGGGCCATCAGAATAGGTTGTGATAGGGTAATTAAAATAGGCTGATCACAGTAAATGGCCAAGGAACACTGAGATGGACTCATCCCCATGGCTGACATCAAGAGCAAAGTATTTAACCAGCACAATAACCACTCAGTCTAATCTACATTTAAGCTCAATCACTTCTTCCAGGTAAGTGACAGAAAACGATTGTTTACTTGTACAATATTATTTCCAAATTTTAAAGTCCATGCATAATGGAAATAGGCTCTGATAATTTAGCTTTCTAGTAGAAAAGAAGTATCTAAAGGAACAGCTGAATATCAATACTAAAATCAGTGGCACACAAATTTGAAGTACACTGTATTTTGAACGCTGATATTATGAGAAGTAGTTATTTGTCATAGTCATTGAATTCCTAAAATAGTCAATTAGGAAAAGTGGAATAATAATTTAAAAATTTAAATAATATATATGATAGGCATATTTCTTAAATACTAGCACATAAAAGCTCTAGTATTTTAGCTAACAGTCATATCTTATTTAAGTTTCAAAGTTTGCATTAATTAACTTCAATCTTTTTGGCACAAAAATAGCTAAAAGAAATAATGATAAAATGAGAAAAGCACTCTAAAATATGAAAAGCACTCTAAAATATGACAATCACCACTTCATTCCTCTTAAGTCTGTATATGTAGAAGCAAAAGAAATGAATTAGTCCAAGGTTTAGAAGAACATCTACATAGACAACAAAGAATAGAGCTATCCTATTTTCTGTCTAGTGAAAAAGGTGAAAGTAAACATATTAAAAAGGAACCTAAATGATAGAACATAAGTAAAATAAATCTAAATAAAAAATGCAAAACTTCATTCAATGAATAGATTCTAAGTATTACCTACTAGATTCAATGTCACCAGAGTCAGACTGCAAAGACAAAGCTGAAGAGGAAGATGAATACAAACAATGGCCAGAGATGTCTATGGTGAGCCAGGTGGGGTGGTAGCACACACCTGTAATCCCAATGCTTGGGAGGCTGAGGCAGGAGGATCACCAAGAGATGGAGGCCAGCCTGGGCTACACAGTGAGGCTCTGTCTCAAAAAACAAAACCAAACAACAAAAACCTAACAAAAAAACCACAAAACCCAAAACAACAAAGATGCTGACAGTGATTCAGGATAGCTTCCCAGGATAAAAGCTAAATTAGAGGAGAGGCAAGCAGAACTAGGAAAGAAAGATGGAATCAGTAAGTGTCCAGGAAGTGTAAGACAAAAAATAATGAGTAGACACATGTGGGCTAATAGAAATGGTTATAAATAGCCTGTTGAGTCATACTCTGGAAGCCAGTGAAAGTCTGTCCTGGGCATGCCTACAACCAAACTGAATGGCACACCATGAGCGCTTCAAAGCAAGTTAACGCTGAAGGAAGGCAGCAGGCACTACAGGTACCAGACTGAACAAAAATGCACAAAGGAGAAAATACCTTATACTCTTATACTGGTGCCACCTAAACTAATGTGATAAGAAAACTTCTGTAAGGTGAAGTCAGACAGAAGTTTAGGGAAGCACAGATATTGTCATTTTTCATGATGAGCTAAATTCTCTGTGATAAATATACTGAAACATTCAATTTGTGGAAAAAATGTGGAATGAGAGCCGTGAGTTATGATGGAGTGCAAACTCATAATAGTGACATACTCGTGAACACAAGAATACCCTGAAGTTGGCATGAAACCAATGAGTGGTTCCCATTTAAAGGGGAGACTTGCTGTTTTCTTTAATGCCATTCTTTGGAAAATCCCTCTGCTGATCAGGATACAAAGTTTTATAAAAGCTCTTGCTGTACACTACAGAAACAGAAGTCATTTTCAAATAATAACGTGCATACATACATGCAAACAAATATGCTCATAAGTAGTAACTGAGTTGGCTTTTTCTTTTAAATTTTGTACCTCTATGCTATCTCATTTGATCTATAATTAGTGCCAAGACCAAGGTAGGTAAGCTGTAATTATGCATACAACATCAGAAGGTACACATATTCACAATTCCTTTTAAAATGTAACTGTACCACTAATTTAGTAAAAAATTCCTTGGCAACAAGAATATCCTTTTCATAGATGATCAAAGGGAAATCAGTGAAAGCAAAAAATATATTTCCCAAAAGCATTGTGAATAAATAATTGACAGGAGGCTACAACTACATGACATTGTTACAACTGGCATTACCCATCTCCTTTCCTATACAATAGTCTATCACCTCTAATCCAAACAAGATTAATAAGAAATGTACCGGAAAAAAGAAAGTGATTTCTTTCATAAAACTACCAACAAGAATAAAACATTTGGCCGGGGATGTAGCTCAGTGGCACTGTGCCTGTCTGGCAAGCACAAGGTCCTGAGCTCAATCCTTGGTACAGGGAAAAAAAAAAAGAATAAAACATTTAAGGATACATTTAACAAATAACCTGAAAGTTCCATGCAATGAAAACTATAAAACACTGCTGACAGAAAAGAAGACCAAAATAAATGGAGAGCAATATGATACTCATGGATTGATTGCAGAATCCCATACTATTAACACGTCAGTTCCTCCCCCAGAAGACCTAAGATTCAGTATATTCCCAATCACCATCATAGCAGACTTCTCCTCCCAACAAGTGACATAACAAATTTACATGGAAGGTCAAGGGACCTAGAATAGCCAAAATAATTTTCAAAAGAACACAATTACACAACTTAAAAGACCTAATTTTAAGACTTAAAAAATAAAACTATAGTAATCGAAACAGTCTAGTATTGTCTTAAAGATAGACACACAGACAAAGTTAAACAGAGTTCAGAAAGAGTCTCAGACATAGTGTTACACAGGGTCTTTTCAAGAAAGTGTCCTGGCATACTGGTATAGCCAAATGAAAACAAACAACCCCCCAAATAAATAAACACTTACTTCCTGTTCTATGCAACAACTAATTTAAAATGATCTTTGTAAGAGTTAAGAGGAAGCACTGGACAAAGAAAATATTAAAAGAAAATACTGGTGACAATCCTAGTAAATCTGGAGTAGGTAAAGATTTCAATGGGGGAAAATGAAAAATTGGATTTCACCCCCGAAAAACTTATGTTCTTCAAAAGATGACGTTAACAGAGAGGAAAAAAAGGCAAGACTAAAAGAACCTACCTACAAAATATGTATTTAAGGATAAAGAGGTGATAAAGGACTTATTCAGAATATCTGAAGAACTTGTATAACTCCAATAAAACAAACAACCCTATCAAGCAATCAGCACATTGACCTAAAACAAAGGAGAGATAAAATTGACAACCAAGTCCATTTGCATAATGAAAATTAAAAGCAATTAGATACTAGGAAACACTCACTAGAATCCCTAAAATTAAAAATAAAAAAAGCTAATAGCACCAAGTGCTGTTAAGGATGTCAAGCCACTGGGACTTCTGCACACTCCCACTGTGAATGCTCACTGGGATGACCACTTCAGAAAAGAGGTGGCTGTTTCGCATAAAGTTAAACCCGCATCTACCACATGACCCAGAAATTCCGGTGGTTGGGAGTTACCCAAAAGAAATGAAAACATATGTTCCTAAAACTTTTATATGAATGTTCATAGTAGCTTTCTTCATGATAGTCAAATACAAGCAAATGTCTATCATGGGGTAAATGGATGTAGAAACTAGTTTGTCCAAACAGTGAAAAATGACCCACTACTAAAAAGACTAAAACATGTGATAGTGTGGCGGAATCTCAAACACAGTACTCTAAGAGAAAGAATCCAGACACACAAGACCACACACTGTATGATTTCAGTTTCTGAAATTCTGGAATGAGGGAAACCAAAGCAGATCAGTTATTGCCAAACAAGGGGTGGAGTGGGTAAGGTGTGGGAGGAATGGCTGCAAGAGAAACAGAGAGCCTTTTAAAGGATAAATATATGCCATATCATGACTATAGTGTGATTATACAATCACACACTTACCAAGATTAAGTAAACGCAACACTTTGATGGACAGATTTAAATAGATGAAAATTATACCTCAATAATGCTGGCAAAAAAGGACAAAAAATCAACAAAAGATGACAGTCCATTATTCCGTCTCTATGGGGCACAGCTACCTCCTTGGCCCCTCAGTAATCTAACCAAGTAGCCTTGGGAAACAGACACTTTCGACTTATGCAAGAAACTAAATGAGGAGGCTTGACCTGTTCATTTTATAGAACATTATATCAGCTTTTCTGAAGAAGAAATGGATGCTTAGAAAAGTTAAGTCATTCATAATTCTATGAATTCTGGCTTCAAGGGCAACATCCTTTCTAGTTTCCCTTGTTTTCATAGAGTCTCACGATGACCCCAGCAGAACTGGGTTATATAGTCATGATCCCTATTATTAATGGGACAAAAACCAGACAATGACATTATGCAAAAGAATAATCTTGCTGCAATAATTATATTATTATAAAATTATGCTATTGTACTTAGCTATTACATGAATATCAAGATCAGATTGATTAATCAAATGAAACAATAATAAGGTATGAAATAAAAGTATATTCCTGAGTTAATTTCGCATTAAGTAACAGAAAGATTTAACTACAGAATATTGAAGTGGGAGTCTATAAATTTTATTGAGACTATTTTTTTCATATTAAATAAAATGAAACACCGAACTACTCAGGCATAAGTGTGACTTTGTAACACACTTATTTCAGAGACTTGTTTAAAGGTTCTATACAACCTATTCACTGGGATACAGCACAACATAGTGACTTTGAGGGCTCCATCTATTCTCATGAATTTAAAAACTTACAACTGCTGACTTCTTTGTCATAGAATGAATAGATTTACATTGTAAAATTTAAGTAACCAGACATATTGGTACTTGTGGCTGAAGTTTACACAGAAACATCACGAACCTATTGAAAATTTTAAGTGACAAATCACATTAAAGGAAGTGTTAGAGGTCTCCAGATTTAGATTCTTTTGGAACAATTACTGTGAATTCAAAATAAATAAACAACAAAAATAGCTTGTATTCATATGTCATTAAATGTTCTTTACTATGGAATATTTTTTTTTTTTTAGTAAAAGATCACTAAATAAAGATTCAAATGTTAGAAAATCTGAGCCATTATTCCAACTTGAAATAATGAACTAATGAAATAATAATGAAATAATGTAACTGCTTTTACTTAGGTTTCTTTAGTTTTAAATACAGCATTTATACCTTATGCTTCCCATAAATACCAGTGGGTATAGAGATTAGAATATGAATTAAGTTCAAGCCACATAAAGTCGAAATACATGGAACGCCAACATTCCAAGGCAGCACGGTTAGATTTAAAATTGAGCATTAAATAAAATGTCTCATTGTTTGATTTCATATTTTCATAATATTACTTTCAAATATTTGATCTGGTAAAGACTAAAGACTATTAAGAGATTCTTATCTAGACTTAAGCACAAATAGCACAAATTTTAATGAAAAACAAAATACTATTTTGAACAAGTAATGTAAACAAAGAATAACCAAAGCCAGGCAGATGAATTCTTCTCATTTCTCTGCAGAGCTTAGAAAAGGGATAAACCACCCACCTTTGCCTGCAGGCTGAGGTACTGCGAATCCGGGCAACAGGAAGGGCGCCCCTGTGGTGATCCCCGCTGGCTTCAGCTCATGGATGCCATATGTGGTCAGGGAAGTTATCAGATTAACCAGGTCTTTCAAGGCATCTTTGGACTCAGCCTCTTTTGCTTGTTCCAATCTAAAAAGAGTACAATTTAACAAATATTTTTTCTCTTTGGTTCTAGCCTTAAATTTATTACAGAAAGTATTTTTCAATTATTTATTCAATTTGTTCAGTAAACAAATGTATAAAGTACACTGAGAAGTTTCTTCTTATAATATTTCCTATATTAAAAGCTTCAGAAAACTATAAATTTTTAAGACTATGGTGCATTTGAAAGAAATCAGATCAATCATGAAAGTGCCCATTTGACTACTGTTATTTTAGGTAAATCACTAATCTTTGGCAGAAAGTCTCTATATAATAAAAGCATTAGATTAAGTATATTTTCAAGTTCCCTAAAGCTCTAAGGTTATTTTAAGTTTCACTGTTTACAACCAAAGCCTTATTAACTAGTCTTTCTTAAGATATCCATTCAGTTAACAACGTTTAAAAATGAACTCTAAGAGTTCTAAAAATTTTATCTGTATTTCATGAATTTAGGTACTATTGTTAAATAAAGTTCTGAGAATCATTTTAATAATTTTTTAATAATCAAAATTCCTTCTAAAAGAACTCTGGGGTCATGGGGGAATTATCTTTTGACTATGGCTTTACTAAGAATATAAAATGGGCACAATAATATCTCTTTTTCTTAAAGAATAAGATTTATTGGGTTTTTCCCCAAACAGAAAAATGTCATTCTCATCAAAATAAATTTGGAGAATGTGCAGAAGTAAGAAGAAACAGGATTCTTAACCTCACAACCCAGATAATTACTTTCAACCTTCAGATGGACTTTTTAAGACTTATTTCTTTTAACCTGAAAGTTTAATTTTTACAATATCTATTCTCACAATACATGCACAATTTTTAACCTCACCCTTTTTTTTCATTTCCCAGTGTTAGGCATGTGCTTCTCCATGTTAGTACAAGCTCCCCCTACACACCCTTCTAATGCCACGCACAGCCAACCGTGGTGCCAACCACACCTTTGGCAGGGGACAGTCAGACAGCGTGTACAATATAACAGCGCTAGAAGACATAAAAATTTCTTTACATTTAGGATTATATTACTAGGATTAATAACTGCAATGAAAGTACTGTGATAAGAATATCAATATTTTTGAGGCCTCTGACAATACATGTCAACCTGCATTCTCAAAGAATTGTACCAATTCATACCCTACTAGTAAGCTGAAGCTGTTATTTCAATTATGTATGTCCTCTTTTATAAATGAGGATGTACATAAAAAGGACATTCTTGGGAGCTATGAAAATATTAACTGAGAGCAAGTAGGTTAAACTTGTGGTAGAAGTAAGTTAACAAAATAGTGTTATCTTTGGATAAGTCAAATGATTTAAAAATGACGGGGCCAGGGATTTAGCTCAGTGGCACCACACCTGCCTCGCAAGCGCAAGGACCTGAGTTTGATCCCCAGTACCAAAAAGTAAACAAATAAATAAATAAATAGTGGCCCAGGAACAGCTAGCAAGAAAAAATACTTTCTTCCCAGTAAAATTTGTGAACAGCCACTTTCTAAGTATATACATGTACTGTTTGCAATTTAAAAGGAGGGGAAATGAAATATTTTGGAATAAGTAATTGGTTTTCTATATATATTTGTAAAGTCTCATTCATCTATATAATTTTCTTGCTATTAACTAGCAAGTACTATAAAACATGGACAAGAAAAATACAAGTAAGCATGAAGAGTGTATACTTCAGAAGATGTTAACTTCTTTTCCCTCAGTTACTAAACAAGGGAAGTTCATACTTAACCTCTAATTCCATGTTTGTAATCTGGATCTGCCAATTCAATTGTAAATGTACTTTTGTCTCTCTGTTGGCAGAACAGGAATAAAAAGAGAGAAAAGCCAAGAGGATGCTCAGGTATATATTAAATGTTTGCTTGATTCCTTTTCCTATAATCTCAAATCTCCTTTTATTAAAAAAAATTGATCAGACATATAAAACATATTCTTAAATTGTGGAGTTTTACCTAAGCAAGAGATCACAAAGAAAATTGTATCCTTGCCATATCCGAAAATCATCCAAAAGTGTTTGGGAAACATCACTGGAATCTTTCAGGAAGCAAGAAAGCCTGGCAAACATTTCAACAGTCTCTAGGGGAGACAGGTCATCCGACTGCTGCATGTTCTGAACACATGTAGATAAACATTCTTTTTCTGCAAAAATAAACATTTAGACACATATATGTACATTGCTTATGAAAATTTTCTTCATCCTTAACTCATGTTTAATGAAACATTAATTTTTAATGCACTTTAAAAATGCTATGAGATTACTTCCAAAACTGCTATACAGATTCAATGCAATCCCCGATTGAAATCCCAACAACATATTTCACAGAACTAGAGAAAACAATCCAAAAGTTCATCTGGAACCATAAGAGACCTAAAACAACAAAAGCAATTCTAGGCAACAGGGCCATGGAAGAGGGTATCACAATTCCCAACTTGAAACTACTACAAAGCCACTGAGATAAAAACAGCACGGTACTGGCAAAGAAACAGACCCGAGGATCAGTGGAATAGATTAGAAGATGCAGAAACAACTCCAGACATACTCAGCTACCTCATCTTTGACAAAGGAGCCAACCATTCTCACTGGAGGAAAGAGAGACTCTTGTTGGAAAGACTGGATTTCAACTTGCCAAAGATTAAAACTAGATCCCTGTTTTTCACCATGCACTAAACTAAAATCGAAGTGGATTAAAGATCTAAATATTAAAACAAAAACACTAAACTTGCTGGAAGATAAGTTAGGTAGAACTCTCGAAGACATTGGCATAGGCAAGGACTTTACGAACAAATCCTCAATAGCACAGGAACTAGCACAAAGAATCAACAACTGGGATCTCATTTTATTAAAAAGCTTCTGCACTGCAAGAGAAACCCACCAACAGAGCTAAGAGACAACCTACAATGTGGGAAAAAATTTTTACCAGCTGCTCCTCAGACAAAGGTCTACTATCTAGAATATAAGAAGAACTCAAAAAAATCAGACCCCCCCAAATTTAAAGACCCAATTCAAAAATGGGCATCTGAAATGAATAGACATTTCTCAGGCAAAGAAGTAAAAGCAAATAAACATATGAAAAAATGTTCAACATCCCTGGTCATTTGAGAGATGCAGATGAAAACAACGCTGAGATTTCACCTCACACCAGAAAGCATGGCTGCTGGCATGAAATCAACCAATAACAAATGCTGGCAGGGTTGTGGGGAGAAAGGAACCCTTCTTCATTGTTGGTGGGAGTGTAGACTGGTGCAACCACTGTGGAAATCAGTATGGAAATACCTCAAAGAACTAGGGTTGGAAGTCTCATTTGACCCAGCTATTCCTCTACTGAGTATATTCCCAAAAGAATTAAAAGAATCATACCACAGTGATATATGTGCACCCGTAGCGGCACAGTTTGTAATAGCTAAAATTTGGAAACAGCCCAATTGTCCATCAACTGGAGACTGGATAAAGAAGATGTGTTTTTTTTTAAATAAAATGGAGTACTACTCAGCCATAAAGAATGAGAAACTGGAGACATTTGTAGCTAAGCGGATGCACATTAAGGCAATACTCTTAAGTGAAATAAATAGGACACACGTGTGTAAATACCGAATAGTTTCTCTGGTGTGGAAAACTAAAAGTGTAAATAAGAATCAAAATGTATAACTGATACTGTGAAATAGGAAGAAAATGTCTAAAGGAGTAGGAGAAATGGGAGGGGTAGGGGAAAGGAAAGAAGGGAAAAGCAAAAATATGAGAAAAGGAAAAACATGGAAACAAAGTCTTTATAAATAGGGAAGGATGGAGGGGGTGAAGGGAGGCAGGGGAATGGGGGAAAAAAATAAGAACCAAGATACATCATATAAGGGTATAAGACCCCAATGATGAATGTAACTGTATTGTATACCTAAAATGTACCAATAAACTAAATAGAAAAAAAATACCATGGGACAAAAGTTACACATTCTAAAAGTAAAAGTACAATTCAGAATCACTGAGGAAGTCTTGCCTCTAAGCAGTAAACAAAGGATATTACAGAGACATGTAGAAAAATAGTTAATGCTTACTACAGTCTGTAAATCATATTTTGATGTCTTACAATTAAACAAAATGACTGGCCACTCCTTGATTTTTTTATCTCTTATATTGATAAAATATCAGAATGAAAAACTACCTTCTAAGTTTAAGAAGCAGAAATTCATTAAAGTTCAACTCAGAGTGAATACAGACTAATGAGATACCTAAATTCTTTAGGATCTAAAATTTTAAAATTATGTTAAAATTATGTTATGTATATCACTAGTTTGAAACATAATCATACTCTATCACCAACTTCAAGGGGCCACTGTCACATGAGAAAAGCTAAGGTTACCACTAAAAAAAGTAGAAACACTTAATGACTAATTCATGTATTAGGCACCAGGACTCACATAGAGCTGTATAAATTATTTTGAGGTTCAAAATAAATTATATAAATTAAATAAGTAAACTATTTTCAGATGCTAATTATATCTTATACAGACATTTTAGACAGTTGGTTATTTTGTATGAACTGGACAGATTAAATCTTCATTACTAAAGTATTCACCTTATTCAGTGGTGACAAACCTATGGCAATGTGTGCCGCAGTGGGCTGTTTGAGAGCTCTGAAAGGTTCACCATCACTGCCCTAATTCCTTCTATTCTGCATTGGAGAGATTATTATCTGCTACTTATGAAATATCTGGAAAAAGACTGATTATATCAAATAGTTCAAAAACATCTGTTTTTTCAGTAAAAGAACAGGGAATGACAGAACTTACACTGGATTATGAATAACAGTTATACAACAACAAAATCACTTTACCTCTTATAGCGAGTGATCAGTCAGACCTTATGAAAATTTCTTACATTTGAAATGTTCAGCAAATTAAAAAAATCCTTTTCTCCTGGGCAATTTATTTTTTTAATTTAAAGCCCAATCTGAGGATAATTGAGAAACGGTAATAAATCTGCCATCAGATGGAGAAAGGTAGGACAAAGTGAAAACCCAAACCCTAGATCACATACTACAGAGCTTCGCACCATGAATGTACTTGACCACATTGACGCTGAGCCCGTGCCGGGAGATGGTCATCAGGACCTCCCCAGCGCTCTTCCTCCACGGTAGGTTGTAGGGGGGGCACCACGAGGTTATTGCACTGAACAGAAGCTGGAGGTCATCCTTCTGTGCCAGCTCCTCTGCTGGGGAAACAAAGCTGCAGAGTTTCACTAAGATCTAAAACACAAAAGGAAACACAAGTGCAGTATGTAAGTAAGTAAATAAGCAGCGAGGAAAGAAGTACTATAAAAGGACTGTCGGGAGCAATTCTACATGATTTTTTTAAAAGTTCTGAATGAGGATTGGGAAATGTCATTAAAGCCACCATGACCAATGCTCTTAGGTCACATTAAAAAAGACACCTACAATTTAGAAGCGTACCAGGCTAAAGCAGCAAGCCAGCTCTACTTATGTGAGCTTAAAGAATATTTACTATTCTCTCTTTGCCATGGTATTTTTGGCATACCTTGGTTTCAAACAGGATGAAACAGCACTCCCTTTCACAGTCTACATTTTACCCAACTTAGTACTTTAGTCCGTAGTTTACACTGTTGAAATGCAACTTTCTTCTCTAAAAGAAGAGTTTTAGGGAGATGAGAGATTTAAAATAGATCTTTCAAAGTAAAGGAATTTTTACATTGCTTCAGTTTTGTACACAAGTAAAAGAGGCTATATGAATAATATGTCATCTTAACTTGGATGTATTTTTTCCTCGTATCTAGGTGCCAACAACTTCCTTAAGCCTGGCTTTCAAAGAAGACTCAAGACCTCTCAACTCCAGAATCAAAACTTATTTCATAAGTTTGAGTAGCAAAATACACAGTGCATAAGTGCTCACAGAATCAAGAGCTTACCTCTGGGGATAGTAGCGATTCCCAACCAATGACATTACTATGTGACATATGTGTATCTTTTCCCAAATGTGAATACATACAGTCAAATGCAACAGGGGTCCACATGCCCAGAGGGGTGCACTGTTGATTATATTCTTTGTTGGTTCTGACACTGCCTCATGTGGTTAGAGGGACAGATGCCATTTCTCGAATTTGTGACATAGAAAACAAACCTAAAAATAGAAAAGGATTTTTTCCAAAACCAAATCCCTATTTTGAAAAATAAAACTGATTTAATGATTCCATGAATATGTTGACTCCTAAGATAATTAGTTCTTTTTTTTTCTCTAAGATAATTAGTTCTTAATCTTTACAGGCCAATGATTCTTAAAATGATCTAGTGTAACTTTTCCATTTTACAGGCTGGAGAAGCATGGAGTCTCCCTCTCACACCTCTTCTGCCCCTGCAGTGGCCACTTCTATTTACAGCGACTCCATGACAAAGTCCACTCAAGTGTGGCAGAGCAGTAACTGGCCACGTCAACAAAAAAATGAATGCCTGCATGAAGCAGTACCAACCACGAAGGTCCCAGGAACCATCTGTCACACAATACAAACACAGGATTTTATCAGTCCTAAAATATTTAATGAGCCTGTCTCAATTGTTTTTTTAATCCAAATGATGAAAATCGAGCTATCTGGCCCATGGTGCGGCCCTGGTGTACTAACAGCATGGGACTGGGAGTGGGGCGACAAGGAGCCTGCTGGTGTGGCTCACCGGCTGTGAATCACCCAGGAGGACATCAGCTCCCATGGCTGGCAGCAAAGAGTCTGCTTTAAATTACACTTTGAGTTCCTTCTGGCCTTAACATTCAATAATTACAGGATACTGAAGTGAGTCCAACATTATTTAAAAGTCAGCATCCACTGCTTCAATAATAGGAAAAAATATTTTAAATATTAAAAGAAAACTGCTCAGTTTACTTAGGTATCAGAAGTATAACATGAAACCTCCATGCACTGCCCACAGCACTGATTAGTTCCTGAGAAGGGCTCTGCTGAAACGTCCACTGTTCTAATCAGCAGAGACTTAATCCACTCTGCTCCACAGCGAGCACTGGTCCTAAGCAGCTTTGATTCCTATGGGATTTATCTCTTCAGTTATTCCAAGCTTTCCTCCTCCAGTCTAAGTCAAGAGTCAGATAAGCCTGAGTTCTAATCCTACTTCTCCATTTGCTCACATAATCATTTCGGAGGAAAAAAAGCTCTGAAGTTATGGGGTTGTTTTGCAAATTACATAAGATGTTAACTGTAAGCACAAAAGTATCTAACAAATCAAACGATCAATAAATATTTATTTGGTATTTTTGTCTGAGAATCTGGTCTTTTCCATCTTGAACTGCCAGGATGTCCCTGTCCTCTGCCCATGCACTGCCCAGACCTCCATGCAGCAGTCACTTGCAGTAGGCCCTGCAGGCACCAGAGGTAAGTTTGCCCATGCCCTGTGCCCTGCCACCTGTCATCACAGACACACTGTCTCCTCTCTTCTCTCCCAATGACATCAGCAATCGCAGTTACTTTTATTGAGTGGCTATTATGTGCCGAGCAGAGAACCACAGCTCTAGGTAGTACTCCATCTAAACCTCACAAAGACACTTTAAATAGATGCCATTATTTTCATTTTACAGGTGAGAAATCTCCATCTTAGGTTACATAGGTTTTGCTATTGTTTTTTACTTTTTACTATGCTTTAAGAAAACAACTCATTCAATATACCATCTTAACCACTGGAACTGTGCACATCAGTGTGAATTACATGCACACTATTGTGCAACTCATCTCCAGAACTTTCTAAGATCTTGCAAAACAGAAATCCTACCCACCAAACAATTCTCTTTTCTTCCCTCTCCACAGTCCCTTGCAACCAGCATTCTAATTTTTCTCCTAATTGTTTGACGATTCTATTTACCTCATAGAGGCAGAATCATGAGGTACTTGTGTTTTGTACGTCAGATATGTTTTTTCACACTCTATTAGACTGGTCCACAGATAAAATGTATTCCAAATGTTTGTAGGTTGCTGGTTTAATTTTTTTCTCCCAAGAAAGCTTACCATCCATGATGACTCTATTGCCAGGCTAGTGGGCAAATGTCCATGAACCTTTGTTCACCCACAGTGTTATTAAAAGTACAGTGGTAACGGTGGGAGGGGGGGGTTCACAGGCAAGCGGAGAGGAGGTGGCAGTGGTCATTAAAATACACTGTCCTCATGAGTTCAGTATTAGAGGAGAGGGAGTTCCTGGATATAAACAGTACTTGTCATGGCCTGTGTCTAGATGTCCCCCCAAAGCCTCATTCAGTCAGAGGTGGAGCTTTTCAGAGATGGCTGGATCTAGAGTGTGTGATCTAGAGTGTGTGATCTTGAGGATGTGATGCTGGGATGGATGTATGGTGTGATACTAGGATTAAGGGTACCCTACCTTGGGTGTGAGTGCTACCTACCCTGCCAGAGGGTGAGTAGTCTGGGTAGAAAATAAGAGATAGAAAGAAGGTTACTGTTTTCGCTTGCTGCTTGCTACTTCACTGCTGGCTGCCTTCTGCCTGAACTGTTTTGCCATAAATTGTTTCTCCTCTGAGATTCCCCTCTGCCATGATACCCTGCTTTGGAGCCAGCCAACTATGGAATGAAGCCTCTACAAACTGTGAGCTGAAATGAACCTTTTCTCCTTTAGCTTTAAGTATCAGGTATTTCGTCTCAGCAATGAGAAAAGTAACTGAAACAGTATTGTAATTGAAAACAATTTCTTGATATTATAAGAAATAATACTCAAATCTTAATATGATTGTCAAAAAAGTTGTCCTTGGTTAGTTCATTTTAGAGATATTATTGATATATCAAATGTAATTTTAAAATCTGTTTAAGGAAACAGCTTGTTGCTGCTACACTTAAATACTCCTGAAAAGAAGACTTTAACATTCTCTCTGTGATATAAGAAATGTTACAATTATGAGATCAAGTCACAGTGTACAACAGAATGCAATGCTATGAAAATGGAAGAGACAGAAGATCTCCTTAGCAGGGGCACTGTCTTCACTGTAGCTGAGCTCTACAGACCAGGCAGACAGCGTATTCCCTACCTGTACAAAAACTTTCTGGAGGAGTCCCCGCCGTTCTGCTAGAGGTAGCTCATTCTGTGCACCTCCAACTGCCTCAGGCACATGTGGAAGGTCAAAAAACAGATATAAACATTTAACCAGGGTGGAAGGCACTGACATCGTTGTCATGCAGTCCACGGTTTTCTGGAAAACAAACCAATAAATAAGTGAATAGATAGACAGTCATAGCTATAATTTACTGATACAGCTGAGTAATTTACAAACATTAAGGCAGAAAAATCATGTCTTTTAAAATGTATTTAAGAATTAGAAAATAACCTCATGCTAAGAAATAATTTCCCATTTAGACAAATTTGCTTAAATCAAATAATGAAGATTGGTTTTTTTACATATTATTTATTAAATTTGATATTTTTTTCATTAAGAAGCACCATATTTCAAAGAACATAAGCTTTGGAATTTTGAAAAAAAGGCAATAAAGAACTACCAACTTGGGCAAACTACTTAATTTTCCTAGGCCTCACATTTCTCTCTTATAAAATGGATACAGTGATATATAATTTTGGGTTAGCATGAAGATTACATAATATAATAAATGCAAAGATACATTAAGCACTAAAGTACATATTAGTAGTTGCTTTACTATCATTTTTATCTCTAGTCTTATTATAGAGCCTTGGGGCTAGAAAGGCACTTGAGAGATGGAGGCATCCTGGACACAAGTATATCTTTGTATTGCTTTCTTTCCAAAGGAAGAAATTCTAGACCTTCTAGTAAACATTTAAATATTTTACAGACATATAAGAATTATGAAAATTTTCCGTGATGCAATTTGGCATAAGAAATCTTACTGCAATAAAAAATCTTACTGGCATCACTGTTGATTATTTACTTTCTCACCAAACATGTACTCAATGTCTAGGGCAGTGGTAGTGAACCTATAGCATGCGTGCTGCAGCCAGTTGTTTGTTATCACTGAAAGCTCTAAAAGGTGCGCCATCACTGATCTAGGATATGTCAGGCAGTGTGTGCAGGAAAAGGAAGCAATCCTGCCCTGCAGAAGTCTACTAGCTGTAGTAGTCATAAACAACTATGATTTAATCTCTTAAGTCTGACAATGGCAGCACATATAGGCCAGTATAAAAGGGAATCATCAACACTGTCAGGAATGTAAGTGAAAAGTGCAAGAAATTAAAATAAGAAGGGGGGCCGGGGATTTAGCTCAGTGGTTTCGCCACCTGCTGCTCAAGTGCAAGGACCCAAGTTCGATCCCCAGTACCAAAAAAAAAAAAAAGAAAGAAAGAAAATAAGAAGGGAAAGATCATCTGAAAACACACACAAAGTTAGACCATATGGTACCGTATGTTTGAGGAGCCAGAGTTTCCACTTGCTGACTCCTGGGATGCTACAGTAACAATGGCTCATCTTCAGTCGGAGCTACCGCACACCAGGTATGAGGCTAACACCTTGGCACACACGGTCTCCTGTATTCCTCAAGTCTACCCTTTTTTTGGCGGGGGGGGGGGGGACAACCAGTGATTAAACTTGGGACCTTGCGCTTGCGAGGCAGGTGACAGCATCACTGAGCTAAGTCCCTGGCTATTCCTCAAGTCTGCACTGTGCAGTGGACACTACTGCCTGCTCCTTTTTTTTACAAAGGAAGCTGCCGAGCCTCCTCATTTACACACCTTGCTGGGAATCAGAGAGCTGGCTAAGTGATCCACAGAGTATATGTTCAACAACCTATGAAAATGGTCTCACACTCCAGCCTGACTTTTATTTTACTGGCCACGGACACTTAATAAAGTGTTATGAACAAAAACATGACAGAGTCAGGGTTCAAAAAATTAACTGATGGAAGCGGAGACTGTAAATTTACACAGAGTCAGAAAGAGGGATGATTAGGAAAGTAACTCAGAAAACTGTCAGAGATAGGGCCCAAACAAATGCAAAAGTGGGTGATGGAGAGACAAAGAGCTTGAGGAACTTCTTTTGCAAGACCTGGGCCCCTCCACATATCCAATGTCATTCCCTACCCCAAACTCCAAACAATCTGCTCTATCTGCCCTGCATTATTTCTTGACACCCCACCTCACCACACATCCAACATTCAGTTTAAATGTCTGCTTTGTCGCAAATGTCCCTCAAATGTCCCTGACCTTCAAATGTTCAGCTCTAACATTTCTGTTTTCATAGCATTAAATATACCATGACTGTATGCTATGGGACTCTCTCTACTTCCTCTCTGTCATCTGCATGTTGAGTCAGGACCATGTTCCACTCTGTTCCATGTTTTGCTATTGTCAGCAGAAAATGGCACTCAGAAAAAGCACTCAATTTATAACACTAAATTTGCTTTTTAAATATACCATTTCCAGTTAAGTTATTACTAGCTTTCCCTTCCCACTAGACAAAGGAGTATGATTTTTCATTTTCATCTTATTGCTGATGGATTTAAACTATAGCTTGGCATCCAAACTAATATTTGGCAGCATTTGTAATTGTTTTAAGTGATTAAGTTTATTCTGATTCTTTTCTTACACTCTTAAGGCTGTCTCTCTGTTGTGCATGATTAAGTTAATCATGTGCTAGGTACCATGGTAGACACAGACTGTTCACAACTGAGGAGGAAAGAAAGGGCACCAAGAGAACATATGAGTAAGAGTTAGAAAGATTACATTAAAAGTTGTTAATGTTAAATACTGAGTAATTGTTGAAATTAAAATTCAAAGTTTTAATACTATATAAAGATATGCTACTATAAACCCGATTTGGGTACAGTGGCAGAGTTGGCATTTTGTCAGCCATCCAGAACAGTCACAGACATATGAAAACAATGCTTTGCTGGACTCTGAAGGCTGCTCAGGGTGACTAACCCTTCCAAGTGCCTGGGACTGAGGGGTTTCCTGAGGGCAGGACTTGGTAGGCTTGAACCTGGAGAGCCCCAAGAAAAGCATGACAAGTCAGTCATGCTGACTCCCTGAGTAAAACAACCCAACAAACAACTGGGATCTCATCTTATTAAAAACCTTTGCACAGCAGGAGAAACCACCAACACAGTGAAGAGACAACCCACAGTGTGGGGAAAAAATTTTGTTAGCTATTCCTCAAACAAAGGACTACTATCTAGAATATATAAAGAACTCAAAACAAAAAAATCAGACCCCCCCCCCCAAATTTAAAGACCCAATCCAAAAATGGGCATCTGAAATGAACAGACATTTCTCAGACAAGGAAGTAAAAGCAGCAAACAAATATATGAAAAAATGTTCAACATCATTCATCATTCAAGAGATGCAAAGTAAAACAATGCTGGGATTCCATCTCACTCCAGAAAGAATGGCTGTTACCGCTTCTCGGCCTTTTGGCTAAGATCAAGTGCAGCAAGAATGACTGTTATCAAGAAATCAACCAATAACAAATGCTGGTGGGGTTGTGGGGAAAGCGGAACCCTTCTCCACTGTTGGTGGGAGTGCAGACTGGTGCAACCACTGTGGAAATCAGTGTGGAAATCAGTGTGGAGATTCCTCAAAAAACTAAAACCAGAGGTTCCATTTGACCCACCTATCCCTCTTCCTGTTATCTTCCTGAATGAATTAAAAACATCACACCACAGCAATATATGCACACTCATGTTTATAGAGGCACAGTTTTTAACAGCTAAATCTTGGAAACAGCCCAAATGCCCATCAACCAAAGAACTGATAAAGAAGATGTGGTTCGTTTTCTACAACAGAGTATTACTCTGCCATAAAGAAGAATACGCTAGAGACATTTCTAGGTAAATGGATGCACTTTGAGACCATACTCTTAAGTGAGATAAATCAGATACACATGCTTAAATACCACATTGATTCTCTGATGTGAGAAACCAAAAATGGAAATAGGACCAAAATGTACAATAGACATTGGGAGATAGGCAGAAAATGTTCAAATGAGAAGGGGAACAAGGGAAGCGGGAGGGGGAAAGGAAAGATGGGACAAGAAAAAAAAGAGAATAGAAGGAAAAAATGAAAAGAAAGCTTTTGCAAATAAGGACGAGAAGAGGGATTGAAGGGAGGGGAGGGGAATGGGAAAAAAAGAAGAATCGAGATATATCATGTACAAGTACACATTTCTTATGATGAATGTTATCATTATATATATCTAAAATGTACAAATAAATGTTTTGCTTAAAAAAAAGAGAAAGAGCAAAACAAAAACAAACAAAAAAAGAAAATAGGCCATTTCATGGAAAAAAGTTAAATGCTAATTACTTTGAGCCAGTGATTAATTTCATTAATTTAATGTGTTGTTTCTGCTGTGACCAGTCACTATAATATGACTGGTGCCACAGTCGCCTTTACAAATTACTTTATTAAACAGTATGAGGTGTTTAAAGTCAATTGTAATTGAGGTGACATCCATTCCTAAGATTGGCAATGATTATGATAGTTGTCTTGATTTTATAAGGTTGAATAAACCTCATTTATTCCAAAATTAAAGGCCAAAATGAAGGTGTCCAAATGGCCCACTAATAGTTACTCACGATATGTATCATGACATTTACTTAACGCTGATTTAGGAATGATAAAAAGCAGTCTTCAGAGCAATCAAGTGAGAAGGGAACATACTAAGCCTGAAAATGTCAATGTTCCCTATTTTCCATAAAAACCTGAAAAATATAAAAGTATTTTCCATGTCACTTACTAATAAGTAGCTGACTGACCTTAGATGAATGTGATTTTTCTAAACTAGAGTTTCTCTAAGTGGATTTTTCCCAAAGGACATCCCTGCAGCTCTGGGACCCTTAACCTGGCCACCGTAGTCTGGCTTTCTGCCCGAGTGCAGTAAGAGTGGTATTATGTTCCTTCCTGTGCACACAACACAACAGAGATGGAAAATATCACTCTACCCCAGGCAACTCCTCACCAGCAAAGTGCAAAAATATCAAGCTCCCCACAGAGAGATGAAAAGCATAACATACTATTTTAGAATAGTTACAAGCACACAAATGGTTACAATGCCTTAAGTACGATGATAAATTTAATAACAAAATCCCAAGAAAATATGAAGAAGTTGATGTATCAAACATGAAAACTGAGAACTCACCTGACCAGAGGACGCCAACAGATTAATAGTTGTCAAAAGCATCCACCCTCGACTGGCTTCTTCACTCTGATTGATCTCCAGAAACTGGACGATGGCCCGACTTGCAGCCTCTACCAAACCAAAGGAAAAGTCATTAAGTGGGGGGAAATCATTTAAAAAAAGTTCACCCTCAAAACTTAGCAGGGAAACGATCATTCACTAAGCACGCATTTCAAATCAGCATTGTTAGTTATTCTATGAAAAAATTAAAAATAGCCATGTTTTTAATGATGTGTGTAAACATTTCACTAGTATAGAAATGTAAGAGTTAATCAGTATGTTTTAGAGAAAGGTATACTATGCTATTAACTAATTAAAGAGACTTGGAAGAGGGGAAATTTGAGCTAACCCTGCCTGGAAAACAAGTATATTTCTGTCTAGAAAGTGGGCAGGGAAAGGGTATGGCAAGAATGAGAACCCAGCATTAAAACAACAGCCTGGCTGGAGGACTAAGCCTGCTGGGTGAGGACCACAAAGAGCCTATGAAGAGCACTGCTACACAGGGAGAACCCAATGTCAAAGGCAGCGACAAAACAGACACCTGGTAATCGTGAAGGAAGCAGCTCAGGCTGGACTGGGCTCTCCAGGTAAGAGAGCAAAGGCAGTGGCCCGGGCCAAGTATAAAAGGTGGCTCTAGGCCTGTTTATTTGGCAGTGATGTGCACGCCAGACTGAAGGCCAAAGAGAAGGGAGGGAAACAAATGAAGAGATGGCTACGCGATGCACAGCAGGAGCCAAGAGGCTGGAGGCAGGAATGGAGAGCCAGGAGATATGCAAGGGTTGTTTGCAGAACTGTAGAGAGGGAAGAAGCTTTGAAAGTGAGCGTAGTGGATTATGTTTTTAGAGAGAAGGGAGATATCCCTAATATGAACATAGTTTCATCATCACAGTTTGCGAATTAAAGCCAGAAAATAAGTCTGAACTGTTCACTGTGAACTCACTGGGTAAGATACTAAGGTACACTAAGCACACTTCATAAAGAAGCAGAAAGTAGAATAAATAGAATTTAGATGATCCTAGATGAGTTTTTTCCCTTTATTTTCACACAATCAAAACAAGTGTTTTATCAGATAAGCGAATACAAGACTTATATATGATCCTCCCAGAGGGCTCTCCCTGACCCCAAGTACTGGGAATTAAACCCAGGACTTCATGCTAGCTACGCAAGCACTTTTATCATGGAGCTACATCCTCAGTTTTTAATTGTATTTTGAGGCAGTCTCACTAAGTTGGGTAGGCTGGCTTCAAACTTGCAATCATCCTGTCTCAGCTTCCTAAGTAGCTAAGATTGCAAACATGAGCCAACCACACCCAGCTCAAGAGTTACATATGATTCTGAACTGGACATATTTCCTCTTTATACACTTCCACTTGAGGAAACATTTTAAGAGAAAAAAACCTTTTATATAGCTTATTTTTATTGAGTCTTTACCTATATCAGGCATGGTTTTAAATACTTGAGGACTTAACTAATTCTATCTTCACAAGAACCCTATGAGTTGTTTTCTATTAATACATACCTTATTCTAGCATAAACTGAGAAGCGGAGAGGAGAAACAATTTGCCAACAGTTACATAGCTAGTCAGTGAACTCATACTCAAATCTAGGCTGTCTAGCCTGTAAGAGATAAAGATAGTGATTTTAAAAAATTACCAGGAAAAAAGGAAACCAACAGAGACCTGGCTTATTTTCAATACTCCAGTATCTCATAAGTGTTTAAGTTACTATCATCTTTTATTTACTCATTTATAATCTCTCATCCTTGTGTAGAAAATAAACACCAAGACTGCAAGCCTGTCCAGTGCTGATCCCTGATATCTAGCACATTACTGGCACTCAGCATTCAGTAAATGTCTGCTGAAGTAGTCAACCTGAATAGAACAAATGAGTGATTCTAAGAGAAGGACACACTGAGTTTAAATTCTCATGCACATCAAAAAGTTTGGGCTTGCTATGGTAAGAGAGATTCCTGAAAGTTTTGAAAAGTTACAGAAAGAAAAGTATTTTCAGCTAACTAGACTGCCTTTAGTTAATGTGAATGTCTCATGAGAGAAGGGGAGGAAAATGAAAGAGTAACAGTGGGACATTTTAGCAACAGTGGTTTGAGATCCCTGGCAAAAACTGATTTGCAAATATTTCTTGTAAGCCTACAGAAGATGCAAACATTTGACAAGGGCTAAACCACATATGTCTCTTTCCTTGATAGTGATTACATACTCACATAAAGAAGACTTTTTTCCAGTTAGCAAATACTTTTGCCACAGACTGATAAAATATGCTCTCATTTCTCAGGCCTCCTCACAATTAGGCAACTTTTAAATTGTGCACTTTCAAGTTCATAACTGAAAATCTTTAAGAAACTACTTCCAGTATTCCAATTGATTGCATCCCAGTTAAATCAATGTAATGAAATTCTATTTCATAAAAAACATTGATTAGGAAAAGATATGGTCGATATCTACTATGCTACTCATGGGGTGGAGGTGCGGGGGCCCTGAAGAACTAAATATACTTTAAGGGAAAGGCAAAACAAAGTTAATCTTCCAAGTACAGAAGCTTGAGAACCATAGATAAGAAACATTTTGAATGAATTTATATGTAACACATTAACTCTGAATGAATACTGGGTGAATATGAATTTTCACTGTTCAGTAAGACTGTCAGAGATGAACAACAGATGCTAATGCTGACTTTGAGAACCAAAACAACAAAAACGCACTGTTAGTTTGAGGCAGTTCTATGTATCTGATCAAGGGTGGGCATTTATATTTCTAATGCGTGTGTTTTTCATATTTCCGTTGACAATGATCGTTACAGGACTCCACAAGATAAGAAAGACAAACAATGGGTGAAAAGCAATGTTCTATTAAACATTCCAACACGCTGTATGGACTGCTGTGCTGATTAAATTAGTTTGTGCATGTGAAAGTGAACTGAAAAGAACCGAGACCAGATAAACCTTCACATGTATCTTTAACATTTTTGTCAACTTAATTTTAACAATTACTTTTTTTGAGAAGAAAGTGGAGAAGACCTAAGTTACAGCAGCATTACTATACAATTATATTATCTGGCTTCTTTGTTTATTTCTTTATTTTTTGTAGCTCTGGAGTTGAACCCTGGGCCTTGCATTGAGCTACATCCCCAGCTCTCTTTTATTCAGAGATCAGGTCTCGCTAGATTGGCCAGGTTGGCTTTGAACTTCTGATCCTTCACCTCCGCCTCCTGGTAGGAACTGGGAGTACAGGTGTACATCACCACTCCTGGCTGTTATCTGAATTTGAATTGCGGCTCACACAGAGAAAGAAGCATGGACACCATTGTGGCCAAATGACAGGAGGGAAATCTCAAGCCCCACTGACAAAACAAATTTAGATTTGTTTCACAAATGTATTCAGGAGAATTGTTTCACTTTCACCTATCTATTTCAGTATGCTGTCATTAAGACTATCTCAAACAGATCTCCCACTTCTCATTCTAAGAGATCTAAGCAGTAATTTTAAAAGTCTACGGCTTTTATGATGATCTTAAAAATTATGTCCAGGCTGGGGACTCAGGTCACTGGCAGAGCACTTGCCTAGCATATGTAAGGCCCTGGGTTCAATCCCCATGACAGACAAACAAAGAGAGAAGGAAGGAAGGGAAGGGAAGGGAAGGAGGGAGGGAACAAGGGAGGGAGGGAAGAAGAAAAAGAAGCAGCACCAAAAACCCTAACATAATCTCACCAAATTATGTATACAAAAAAAGAAATTTTAAATAAAACCAATCACATAGTCTCTCAAAACTTCGGAAAAAACTCACTTCTAGACACAAACACACTGCATTAAGATCTTTTACTTTTGATATTTAACAAACACAAAATTTAAATGATGACTTAAGGTTGTAAGAGTTAGTGAAGGTCACACATTAATGTTAAACCATCTTTTCAGGTGTCAATCACTTGATTCAAGCTTTAGCTTTACACTGCATTTCAACAGACACAGTCAGAATTAAAACTACATAATCAGTTAGTAGAGCCTGCAATTAGGTTAAAGAAGTAAAGAGTGTATACAATCTTGACACTAATGTAATATCCTACCCTACACTGAAAGAATATAAGTGAGTTTAATTAGACAGCATTCAGAACAATCAGAATGCAAAACTTGTTAACAGTAAGTGCAGCATGGCAATTTCTCCTTTGCACAGTCCATTTAAAGCATATATTATCTTCAGATGTATGCTTTAGGATGATACATGAGACACAGCAATAGTATTACTATACTTATTTCACTAATGAAGAAACACTGCTGCTCCCTCCCCGAAAAATGAAAAAGAAAATCCACAAGTTAGTGGGAAACACAGAATTAGAACTCGTAGCTTTCATGCTTCTCTCTTTTGGATGCATAACCACACCCTGAGAATGAAATTACCTGAAGGTGTTGTGGTTCTGAAATCCCCGAAGGATGGCAAGGCACACTGTTCTTCTGTTTAAAAAAAAGGCTGGGTTGTCCACCTGGGGATTCACTACATCACACGGAGCCCACTGCAGGAGTGCTGTGGCCTCCCCCGCCTCTCCATTGCTGGGGCCTGCCCGCCAGGAACGGCACCATGGGTCTAATGTGGCACCTTGTGAAAGGGAAGTGAATGGACACTTCTCAGAGGAAGTCCAAATGGCCGATAATTACAGAAAGAAGTGTACCGCTTCTTTGGCCATTAGAGAAACACAAATCAAAACAACACTAAGCTTCCATCTTACTCCAGAAAGAATGGCTATTATCAAGGACTCAAATAACAACAAATGCTGGTGAGGTTGTGGGGGAAAAGGAACCTTTCTGCACTGTAGGTGGGAGTGTAAACTAATACAACCACTATGGAAATCAGTGTGGACATTCCTCAAAAAACTACAACTAGAAATTCCATTCAACTCAGCTAAAACTCTTCTAGTATCTTCCTAAGAGATAAGAACATCCTATTACAGCATATCCATGTTTATAGCAGCATAACTCATAATAGCTAAATCTTAGAAGAGATGAATGGATGAAGAACATGTGGTAGTTACACACAAAGGAGTACTACTCTGCTATAAAGAAGG